GTCGGGCATTAAACTTTCATGTCAAAACGCTTGTCAGTGTAGCAAGCAAAAAAATTTCGTAATTCTTTCCCCATTCAGCATGTGCACGGCGCGTTAACGGGTCATTGCTCCTATTTACTGTTTTGTTGGAGCATTTGAAAGCCTTTGAAAAGGCCCGTTAAATGTGGACTTTCTGGAATGAACAATTTTATTGAAATGAACAAACCTCCGTAAGAAAGACTTTTCATATTTCGGTTGTGTTTAATAGGATATTTACATTCGATTAAACGGTTTGAGGCATGGGAACATTTTTGAATAGTCATGCACTGGTGGGTTGGGAATTTGACGCTCTTTGAAGCGCTAGCCGGTGGGGCATTTGACCATCTAAATTGCCAACATACCGGGGAATTTGCATGACCAAAATTTTTCAAAAAAGTCAAACGGCCCCAGCTGAGGCGGATAGGCGGTTTTGGAATTGACTGGTATACTTAACGAAGACCAAGTATCACAACACAGAATATCACCGAAGTGGTGCTTTTAACAGCCGTTTAAATATGTTATTCGTTCAACAGATGGCATCTTACAGACTGGAGCGAATGCAGCAGAACGTGTGGAAATGGTAGCCATTCCAGACTTCTTTACTGTCGAATACAAATCAATGAATCACGTTACGAGAAAGTTGATGATTCGTTGTGCAAAATGAGTGCTAAGCCCAACGAGACCCTTCGGCAACGATGCAATGAAATATCGTGTCCAGCTGAATGGAGGCCTTTGCCGTGGAATGAGGTAATGTGTGGATTCTATTTGAACATTAAGTACATCGATACACCCTTTTCAATTTAAATTTATACAAGTACACTTAGTTCTTTATGGTACCTGGTCAAGACGAATTTAAAAGTTGCCGGTATTTCACCCAATTTTATGTCCAGGCACGCAGCCATGTGGCTTTAAAATTATGTTTTTGTTGATCCGAAAACCACCTTGTTTGATCAGTCACTTAGTAGAGCTAGCCTTAATGGAATATTGAATGATGCGTAATGTTGCTTGTTTATGGTAGTGTTCTTCGACGTGCAGTGGTGGAGTGATGACGAGGAAGCTACAGTGTATCCAAAAGAACGAACTTGGAAACAATGTGGTTGTCGCAAAAGAAGTTTGCCGATATGCAATGAAGCCTGGAACTGTGATGGGCTGTAACGACGACATACCCTGTGATCGTATGTGCAATTATATCGTTCTATCGATAACCGGTCAAGTCACCTATAAAGTTATGGCGCTAGAAACCAAAGTTATGTCGCCCAATATGTATAGTCAAGTCGCCCGAAATATTATCAGGTGTAATGCAATAAATGCGCAGAAAAATAAAGTTTCTTGTAGTATATCATGTTCCTTAAACTATCATGAGACCTAACAAGCGGGATAAATGTGTCATCAGAGGCGCGACTAAGCATGATCACATTTTGCTGGGCGAGATAACTTAACATTTCGGGCGACGTAACTTAGGGTGAGATGACTATCGGGCGACCTGAGTGAAACCGTTCTATCTTTGAGCAGTATGTTGCGTTCTTTTTAAAGTTTCTAGACAAGAATTACGATGCAGAATTTTGTAACTTAGTAAACACATAAATCAGGAAAAAGCAAAAGGTTCTTGTAAAAGCCAATAAAGATTTCTTTTTACCCTAGTTTTTCTACCAGACTTTGCTTTTTGCCTTGCCAATGTAATTGTGCTCTCTGTCAAAAACTACCTATCCTAATACTCGATTTAAACGCTTTTTTTTCCATAAAAATGCAATTAAATTTGGAGAAAACTCACAAGGGGCGCAAGGAAAGATTCTCTCTTAGTTAAAGATCGTTATTTCTTGCGTGTATGTTGATGTAGCTAGGCTACTGTTGACCTCATGGGCGGATTTGACGAAGTAGTTTATTGTTACCATTTTCGGTTCATTGATTCCAAGTGCACTTTTTTCTCATGATGTTACTGACGTTAATTCAAAAAGGAATTCTTTGACAACTCAGTAAATTTTCATCTCCAAAAATACGGTCAAAAACGTCGCTCACTACACTACTTGTGCTTGAAGGTGCTCTCACGGGCTGCTGGCTAATTTATTTTGTTAATAATTAAGTACCAGTTAAGCGTCCTTATTAGCTATGAAACTTGAGAAATTACTTGTGAATGACAAAATCACAGTTTTTGTCAAAGGAATATATCTACCATGATTATATCAAACGTTGCAAACAACAAAAATGAGCTTTGAAAAAGTGTTAGGCTAACAAGTCTTAAAAATCTCAATTGCAATCCGCTTCAGTCTTCTTCAAATTTGTCCATCCGTGTTTCGTTTTGTACGTATTTGCTGTGTTAATTTAAACTTCATTTTTTACGTTTTGAGGGGTTATTTTTATGGTTCACTCAATTTTGTGACAGTTTCCACTGTTTGAAGTTTGACAAATTTCTTGACACGGCTCCTTTAACGTCTGCTGATTTTATGTACGGATTGTTTTCTCTTAACCAAGCTCCCCCCGAAATCCAAGTGGCATGTTTTGTTGGTGCTGATCATTTCAAGGAGATACTCGGCAGCTTTACTAACAAAATCAACTGGAACGACACAAATGAGGTCGCCAAAAAGTGCGCTAAGCTGGCTTACGCTAATGGTTACACACTCTTCGCGCTGGGCAAGAATGGACTGTGTCTATCTGGAGCTGACATGAAACAGAAATACTATACCTATGGTACCTATGGAGCGGAATGTAGAGATGGTATCGGAATTTCTTCGAACAGCATGTTCGTTTATTCTTTAGGTAAGCAGCGCATTCTTTGGTTTTAATTCTTTTTTAGCCCGATAACTTGAAGAATTAACTGAGTAACTGCATTTGCATTTGCTCTAATACATCGCTTTACATCACAGAAAATGATTTTAGTTTTTTCAGTTATTTGCTCATGTATAATAAGGGTTGCAGGTCCAAGCTAAAGCATAATTTGACACAAACAATAGTGCAATCAAATAAGAAAGACAGAACCGTACGCTGAACCAATCAACGTATGACTAGGATCGAGAATCGGGGTTGGACCTGATTAGTCTACTCATCTTCTTCAACTTCCGACTACGTAAATCTTAGTGGTTTTCATTAGATCTTCGAAGTGAAAAGCGAATTAAAAACTCTGCTTTCCAAAATAAACACCGTCGGTTTGATTTCGCTCCGACTCCTCATAATTCATGGAAAACAAACGAACGAATCTCAGTGGTAACTTTTTTTTTCACAGAACCTATGCCAAATCCTGAGCCAGTTGGTTGTTTTTGGGATTATTTCGATCGAGCTCTTCCCGATCATTACGCAAACTTCCGAGATCAGATCATCTGGAAGAACATGAACTTGACTGTTAACCAGTGTGCTCGAGTGGCCCAGGACAAAGGCTATGAATATTTCGCTGTTCAGTTCTACGGCGAGTGTTACGGTGGAAAGAACGCCGAAAACATGTACAACAGATACGGCAAAAGTACCTATTGCTGGGCGTTTGACAAACAAAACGGTTTGGGGGTGGGAAGAGGCCTGGCAAACTTCGTTTATCGTATAAATCAGGTTAGTAGCAGGGGCACCCAACGGTAAATTTTGAGGAAAAGACCTAAAAACAACAGCAAAACATGAAAAAAGCTTTCTGAAGCTATTTTAAGCATTATGGAAGATTCCTAGGGAAAAATTTAACCAATGAGAGCGCGCGCCGTTGAGAAAAAAATTCCAGCTATAAAACAATCAAGAATATTCGGTTAGCTAGTATGCATGCAGTGTCAAGCACTTCCTTGGCAAATAGAATAGAAACGACATGAGCCGAAATTGGGAAAATGATAGTTCTTGTCTTAAACGACCTCTTATACATTAAGAAGTTTTCCTCCGGATATTCTTGTTTTTTTTGTCTTCTTAAAAAAACAACTTGAAAACGCATTTTTTTCTCATTCTTTCAGGGTACGAAGACCTCAGCTTAAAGGAATCCATTGAACTAATTTACCGTAACTGATACCAACAAGTATTATTTCATGATTAGTTATTAGCTTATACATGCAACTTCGTATGAGGTTTTAGGAGGGCTTCAGTATAAAAGAGCGGGATTGTATTCGGGGGCCGGCTTCATATTGCTTTCGTTCAGTGTAGGTAATTTTATCTTGACGTTGTATTAATTTAATTGCTGTTTTTCAGTACCGCTTCATTTCTGTTGACTTTGTTTAGTTTTACTTCGCTTCACTTCGCTTTGATTCGCCTTGTTCCTATTGGTTTTAGAAAAGATATAAATAAAGTTTTTTGTGTGGAAATTTAAAGCGCGTGAAGACCGTGAAGGCTCCGACTACACATACTGTTTCCTAGGATGAGGGAGCATGGGGCTCGCGAACGACAAGAGATTAGGGAGAATACTGGGCAAAAAAAGGAAGCAGTGCTGTCTCCCTGCCTCTCTAACCTGTACACAGACATTTTCTTATTTTCCTTTCCGATCGTCGTTTTATTAGCCTCACCCCTTGCGCTAGCGATCAATAAATCCCCGCGGTTTCTATTTTACCTATCACGCGTGCTAGAAGGACGGAGAAAATAGAGGGTCTGTGAACAGGCTACCCTGCCTCTGGGAACTAGATTATTTCGATTCAGACAGGATTGATTATGGCCCCTGATTTGGATCAGACTTTTGAAAATCCTTTGGACCAAGGCTAACCCCACCAACCGCCACCCTCACGTCGCCCCCGGCCCGGCCCCCGCCCCCGACACCATCAGCTCGAGAGGAGTTGCTGAGAACGCTGCAGCGTGGTTACCAAGCATACAAGATGGCGGCAAAAACATCCTGAGACCGATCACGAATGAATGTCGCATTTCCTAAGACATTTAACAGTTTATGCATAAAGATCAAAGCTTGAAAAATGGAGCATACTACCAAAAAAGATGGTACGTATCCTTCCTAGCCTTGTTTCAACTTTGAGTGAGAAATTTTATTGGAAAACTGTCTTGAAAATAGCAAATAAGCTTAAGCTTAATAGTGTTTTTAACTTATGGTTGCAGAAAAATGTCAGAAAATTTCTGTTTCGTTGATTGCGAGGCGAAACATCATCAAGACTGTGGGAAGATCATCAGATGATATGTGAGCATAAACGTATACATTGACTATCAATACCGTCGTCTTAACATGACTAACATAATTTTATTTTTCTGTTAACTTTTGTTTTTGTTGTAACAGGGCTACTCAGTTATTAGAGTTGAGTCATGTCAGGCTGGACCGGGAGAAGATAAGTCAGATTGACAACCTGGACTGCCTTGGGCCTGTCACTCATTTGTATTTACAGAAAGTATGGAGTGCTTATCTTTGCCTTTTTGTGCTGGATTGGGGGTGGGGGATGGGGTGGGTAGTTTGTGAGATGTGTGTGGTGGGGGCGGTTCTTGACCCTTTGTTGGGACATAAGTTGGATGTGTACCACTTAAGGTTTAACACCGTGACCCTGTTTTGGACTTAAATGAATGGCGGGTATAATTTTAAAGGTCACGTTCCACAGATCAGAAATTATACAGGTCACACGCTACAGATGAATAAACAGGACCAGAAGTGTCTCCTTAATCCCTATCAAAATAATGGTTATGATCGAAAGAAAACCATTGGTTTAATGGATAAAACAGTGCAGTGACCTGTATATAATTCATGAACCACCGCCCCTGTAGAGGACAACATCTGTTTTTAGACCCAGACTGTCCAACAATTCTGATCTCATTAGGATTCTCCCGATTTTGCTTGAAAATCCCGAATCCCGACCAATATGCGATCAGGATAGGAAAAATCCCGATTTTGACATCTGTTTTGATATAATTTTTCAAATACATTGTTAGGATAACACAAATTAAGAACACCTAACAGAGTGTACTTAACTGAAACTGAAACCCTGCAAACTGAAATATACCGCCTGAAATAAAAACAAAAAAACAAAATCGAGTCCTTGTATGCGAAAACATACAAATAAAAATGGGCATAAAAATAGCAATTGACTGAGAAAACATGAGAAAGAAACCGATTAACATAATGAAACATTTCTCAAGAACTTCAAGTATCCATTCCTACCCTACTCGCTGTGTTGGCGTCAAAACCCAGAATGAGATCTTACCTAATGACTTTAAAATGTTATCTAAAAAGGCCTTCTCAGAAAAAAACTTAAAGTTGCACTATTTGACTTTCTAAATGCAGACGATTCATAGTATGTTGAATTTGATGACATCACTTCAAAATTAAAAAACTATAATATAGGATAAGATTATCTGTCTTTTCTGTATTCTCACAGCAAAATTGTTTACTCACACTTTGTGTCCTTTTCCCTTTGTTTCTTTTTATTTTATTGTGTCTTATTTTCAATTCAAACTTCCTTTTGTTAAGTAGTTAATCAAATAATATTCATAGTGTGAATATGTGTAATGACCCACCTCGATTGGCCTTTGGTATCTGCGGGTCAAATCATTTCCTGTATTATTGTTATATAAATTCTAATAAAGTATAAATGACCTTCCTGGCAGAACACAGGAATAGCATTTCAGAGCATCAAATTTCAAAACACATTTTCTGGGGTAGCATGCCCCCAGGCCCCACTTGCTGCTTGCACCCTCAGTGCTGACCTGATTCTTTGGTTTTTAAAAAAGACCCCTATTTTACATACTCAAAGGGTTGGACAGTCCATAGACCCCAGGGACACTCTTCTGGGCTAGCCCTCTTTGTGTATGTGATTTAATGTTTCAAATTAATCAAAAGTCGGCAAAGTCGGCCCATAAATCCCTGCATGTTCTGAGTCCCCCCAACAAAGTAACCAGATACAGAGAAGATGTAGATGTTACTAATTCACTGTTCATTAATTATCTGTGAAGGAATGAAAATTTGAATTATTTGACACAGTAGTGCCAGCAACTGACAGATTTAATTTCCAAATAACGAATTTGCTATTAAATAGAATCTATTGTGGAGTCATCCTCGGAGACCCAGGGGCAGTCAGTTGGGCCATTTCTCCTGGCCCGACTGACTGCCCCTGGATCTCCGAGGATGTTGTGGAGTATGCTTAAATTGGTTTAACAGCAGTTGATGACTTAATTTTAACTTCTCAACCAGCTTTTCACTGCATGTTGATCTGTTATTTGTCAAAGTGTCACTTGTTAATTTTCAAATAAGCCTTAAGTTTAAAAAATTTAATCTTGATTTGCTTTAATCATGTGTTGTTTTCCATAGAATCAAATAACAAGAATTGAGAATCTTGAAGTTCTTCCCAAGCTTAAGTATGTTTTGTGTATAGAAACTACAGCTTAAAGTCCCTACTTTGATGGGGGATTTTGGTTTAGTATCAGTGATGTTTAATACGGGTTTAATATTACTGTTGGTCAACAGATTCCTGACATTAGCTGATAACAAAATAACAAAAGTGGAAAATCTCAAGATCCTCACAAAATTGCAGTTTTTGGATCTTTCTGACAACTTGGTGGAGGATTTTGATGGAGGTTTATAATTATTAACTCTTTAACTATAATTAATGTAAAACTGTTTTATCCATTGAAAAACTTAGAACTATTGAACTGTTGGCATACTTTCACCACTTATTTTTCTATTCATTTCACAGAAGAGTTCCCAGCAAGTTTAATTATTTTGAATTTAAAGGGAAATCCGTGCACTCAGCTTGTGGATTACAAGTATGTTTTGTCTGGCAAATAAAAATGCCTAGTTTTTTTCCATTCTTTAAAAATAAAGTATAATGTATATTCAAGTATAAATAAAAGTTAAGTTCAAGCTTGTAAACATCCTTTGTGAAACAAAAATACTGTCACATTTTATTATACAGGCTCATTTGAAGTAGCTTTTCTATTTTATACTATGAACCTCATGCATTTAATATGCATAGTGTCTGTGGCCACCTGGTTAGCTCAGTTGGGAGAGCATTATTTTTATTGGCTTAGAGTTTATTACATTTGAGTTTATTGCTTAATATATATATATTAAGTAAATAAATTATATAAGCTAAATTTAAATATTAAAGGGATAACCTCATAATCCTTCTTCAGGGGTTACAGTGTTTATAATGGTTACGTGTAAACATTGTATGTAATATTAGTTTAGAGCGGTTTTCACTTGACTGTCGTAAAACCAAAACCAAAGTAAATACACTAGCCAACCAAAGGGCGTAGTAAAACCAAAACCAAAACCAAAACCAATCCCTTTCGACGGTCAAGTGAAAACCGCTCTAATATAATATGTTATATGCTTAATCATAACCATAACAAAATTCTTAAATCTGATTGGCTATCAACTGCCCTGATTTCAGCCTTAATAGGACAGTACGCGTCATGCCTAAGTAATTGGACAGTACGCGCCATCACGCGCGCGCTTAAATGGCTTTTTTTTTTTCACTGGTAGCAAAAAAATCTCGGAATTTCTTGTGTTTTGATTTTAAAAAAAAATAGCCTAATATTTCACAAATTTTGTTAAAGTTATGATTAATTGGTAACAGAACTTTCTGTCGTCCAATTCGGTCTGTAATCATACTCGTGATTAAACAAAATTGGACTCCCGCTACGCGGTCGTCCGATTTTGTTAATCACTTGTATGATTACAGACCGAATTGGACTCCACTCAGTCCTGTTACCATTACATATCTCATTATCAAATTTAGTACAAACTAGTGTACGTAGATCACAGTGTGCCACAATTTAAAAACAATGACTTAAATCCCCCTGCCTTTATTTCTTATTCTAAATTTGAAGCAATCTGCTAGGGTTCTTAGGAAAAGATTATATTTATTTGCTTTTATATTAAATTATTATAATATCATTATTTTATTTTTCTTACTAAGTAAACAATGCATTGACTTTTCTTTTTAGGAAAAAACTGTTTGTTGCCCTGCCACTGTTAAAGCAACTGGATGGTCAAGACATAACAAAGGAGGAACGACTTCAGGCTGGTTGTGCTGCTGTGTACGTTTTTTCAGATGTTATAACCTTTTGTTACCAATTGCTGGGACTTGTAAGAATTCTCCTTTAGAGTTGTACTTTCCTGTGCAAAGTGGGTTATCTGTAAGCTAGGAGAGATGTTAATTTAGGGATAACCTCTCGTTTCGTCAAATACCATAAGCCAATAACCTAATGATCCTCCTTCAGCTAAGTGTCGTAATGGCTACCTGGAAACAGTGTATGTATGTACTATGCCTTGGATTTATGTTGGCTTGTGTTTAAAGTATCAACAAGTGGGAGCGAAGCATGGCCAGGTCATCCCGAAGGCACCAATTTCAAGTTCTGCCCTGACTGCTAACTGGATTTCATCTTGGCAGTCCTGAGTTGAAATCTAAGCCATGCCAGGAAATCATCCTCTCCTCTTGTGGGGCTTTTCAGGAATAATGAAACGAAATAAAATTTAATGGAATATAACATAACATGGTTAAAAATCCCAACTGGTAGTAAGCAAACCATATGCAGTTGGCTATTTTGCAAGCATGGCCGAGGATTTGAACTCGGGACTACCAAGAACAAAATTCCAGCAAGCTGCCGGGGCAGGACTTGAACTTGGGGTCTCTAAACTACCAGTCTACTAAGCGCTGCCTTCATTAACCTTTTGGAGTAAGGAGGGTGCAGTGGTGAGAGCACTCGCCAGTTACCAGTGTGGCCCTGCAGGTTCAAGTCCCAGCAGTGACACCATGTGTGAAGTGAGTTTGTTCTTGCCTGTCTTCCCTACCCTCAGAGATTTTTCTCTGGCTACTCCTGATTTCCCCTTTCCTTTAAAACCAACATTTCAAATCTCAATTTGATTTGGAAAATGTTTCCAATTATTTGGGGACAATATAATAAGAGTGCAACAGGTTTATAAGTTCTTTAGCCATTAAAACAACTCTAATTTGTAGATCACTAAATTTCTTGTTATGTGCAAGATTTAAATATTAATTTTATCCCACTGATCGAAATTGCTTGGTGAACTGACAGTGAGAGTGACTCAGATGAAGAAAGTGATGACCAAGAAGAGGAAGAAGAAAAGAATATTTCAGTGGAATCAAAGCAAGGTATAATAGACAATCAAATGCTTCAAGAATCCTCAGCTGTGCTTAGTTGCCCCTGTAAAAAGGTGATGCAAAGGTGCATACAAACCAAAGGCCCAAACAGCCTGAGCTTATCCCCAGTTTCCTTAGCATGAAGCATGCTTAGGTGTATTGCTACTCCCCCCTGGACAGGATACTAGTCCATTGCAGGGTTATCCCTCAGCAGTATGTGGCTGGTACCCATTTTTGTACATCTTGGGAGAGAAACAACATGGAGGAAAAGGAAACAACGCAACAGGTGAGGCTTGAACGACACACCTCCAGATCCGGAGTTCAAGGTTTTAACTGCTCGGCCACACACGCCTCCAGGCCCCTGTGCCTTACTATTATATACTCTTAGATAGCATTTTATTAATTCGTGTTAGAAACATAACAAAGACAAAGTTTAAGAAGTTGCCATTGTTTTTCGAGTTTTGTTCATAACACTGGCTAACTACTCTCTACATGAGTAGATATAGTGAGATAGACAGATTTAGATAGAGGGGATGTAGGCCAATCAGATTGTAAAATTTGTGGTAGTTTGCTAGCTCTGGTTTCTTCTAATAAAACCGGTATAACCTATCTTGCCTTCCCCACCCCTAATTCTTCTTCTTCCTCTAAGAAACCCCACCTCCTTCAAAATGAAGATTCTTGTGATATTGCCCTGCCCAACTCAGATCATCCTACTCACTTTGAGTCTCATTTACTAGATAGTTTCCTCTAGTGTCCAGGCTCCTATCCACCCTCCCCTCTGTATGTCCCCCCCCGACCCAGTCACAGAGAACCCTTCCCCCACTCTCCCAACACTTCTATTACATTGAGTGCAGTGAATCATCTGATAGGTAGGTGTATAATTTCTTGTGAGATCTTGTAAATAGTATTTAGTTTTTGTCCATTCAGGTGGCAGACAGCAATTGTCTTAATTTTTTTTTAGGCTCACTACACCAGCACTGTAATGACATTCTTGTGAGAGCAAAAATAAGGACGTTGAAGGTGGGTGTTTCTTTACTGATGATGATGAACTATGCACATGATACAAAATACAACTAAACACAAATACATAGCTAACTAAAGATAACAATAGCTCTCTAGAGGGCACGTGTTTACAGTTTTTTGTTACGTCTGTAGTGCACTTGTCATTTCATCAGCTTGCTAAGTCATATAAACATGAAACATAACCNATGCACATGATACAAAATACAACTAAACACAAATACATAGCTAACTAAAGATAACAATAGCTCTCTAGAGGGCACGTGTTTACAGTTTTTTGTTACGTCTGTAGTGCACTTGTCATTTCATCAGCTTGCTAAGTCATATAAACATGAAACATAACCTGGTTTGTCAAAGAAAATAAAGTGTGATTTCTTGCACGGAAGAAAAAATTTTTGATGCGGATGGTGATGCTTATTTATCTGCAACATTAAGTTATGCTTCACCTTCATGTCATATAGCACATGGATGGCCAGTGTCAAAGCATGCTGCTTGTATAAAGAAAAGCACGGTTATTTCACAGAAAACCAAATGCTAAATTACTCTGAAGTTTAGTGATTAGGCTTAGGAAACTGAGTGCATCACGTTTCAGATGATTTTGCCCAGTATAATGACCCTAAATGGAACCTGATTCAGTCAGTTTCCTATTAAACCCTAATCACTATAAACTTCAGAGTCATTCAATGTTTAGCAGCCATTCAGCATTCTACAAAATACTGCTGCCAGTTAATTTATAGGAACAAGCAAAGCCAGACATTTTTCTGTAATCAATGAAGAGTTAGTTCTTATTTTTTACCTCAGTTTTGTAAAGAACATTCATGTTTTTTGTAACAGGAAGAACAAGAACATAAGAAGAGAATGGAGCAACTAGAAAATATTCGTAAACTGCATTCCCAGGAGTTATCAAGTAAAATATCATCCACACATTGATGACATTCAGCAGTGTTGATGCCATCTGGATCAGATGGTGAACAACAGCAAGGATGTAATAATAATTTTTTCAGGATATCAAAACACAGAAAGGAATTTTAGTGTTGCAAAAAGGGAGTGAAAAAAAGCAAGAAAACAAAACACATTTAACACTAAGGACAGCTGTCTGATCATTATCTACTTAAAAGTGAGCAACGCATCAAAGTTTCTCCTGCTGCACAAGTTGTGGATAACAATTAATTTTCTTTTGAATTTTTTGTTCTTTAAGCTAAAAGAACTGAGAAAGTATTTATTATTGAATGTGTGCTTTTGAGGTACTACAATCAAGTAATTAGAAACAAGAAATCAAAGTAGAACATAACAGGATAAAAAAACCCAACTGGTAGCTAGGAAACCGGTTAGCTGTTTACAAGCATGACAAGGATTTGAATTCACAATGACCAAAAAACAAATTCTGCTGATCAGCCAATTGTTGGAGCGGAACTCAAGCCAAGACCGCAGTATTGTGAGTCCGAGACTTTGGCTGCTTGGCCACTCATCCACCCCCTACTCCTGCACCAGTTTAGATTTACCCTTCAAGACTCTTCTGCAACTTGACATTTCCAGTGACCCTTCAGGGGGTGGATATGGACACCTTTTGGAACCACACAATCAAAGTCAAGGCAAACTGCACAGAACAGTAAACACTAATGCTCTCTACTTTGCTTTCCCCATACATCTGTTTAGTTACAGATCACAAAATGATGTCAAAATGAGCAGGGTTAAAATTGTTTCCTTGGGTGCACTGGATTGATTGAATTGAAAAATAAGAATGCGCACAAATTTGAACATACAAATCTCATCTACTGTGATTTCTTGACCATTTTTAAATAGTTTTAACCCTTTAAGCACTAAGAGTGATTGGCATCAAAGTTCTCCTTGTGATATCGATGCTTTGTAAAACAGAGTGGTCATGAGAATTACGGACATGATCACACAAGATGAATTTGCTCGATATTTTATCAATTTCTCCCCACTACTTCTGTAGGAAATGAATAGGGGCAAAAAATGAGAATTCAAAATTTTGATCTTTGGGTTTAAAGGGTTAAGAGTCTTAAAACTTTACATGCATCAGAATATTTTATTACAAGCAGATTTCTTGAAACAAAACAAGTTAGTGATTTCTAGGGCTTTATTTTTATTATGGAATAGGGTCAATCAAAAACGCTCCTAGTTTAAAACCAGTTGAAATTTGAAAATAATATGTTCATTAATTTCAATCACCACTGATTGCAATATTAAATTCCAAAACGGGATACGTGGAAATAAATGAATTTCATGAATTTAAATCCGGGTTCGCTTTTCTTTTATTCGAAAGCATTTTCCTGGATAATTTTGTCTATTCTCTTAAGATTATCTACTCTCCATAAAATTGTAGACAAATCTGATTTCAAATTTTGCACTAACCCTGGGTTATCTTGACCCAGCTTTAAACAGCCCAGTCCTGAAGTGACAGCTTTCTATTCACAGCAATATGGAACCACACCAAACCATTATGTTTATTTACAAGAAATCAGAATTTTCCAGTCTTGGAACTAATTATACAGCAAAAAATGTGCCTACTGCAAAGACATTTAAAATTTATTTGTGATGTGGCTTTACAAGAGAGTGTCTTTCATTTCTAAAATGATAATTACACAATACAATAACTGCAAAAAATTATTATTAATTATTATTGCATAGCATTTTCTTCTTAATATTTTTCATAGAATCATGTGACACTAGCGTATCATAACCCAATCACTGTACTAGTCCCTTTAGGAATAGATGTCATGCACTTTTCAGTGCGATATTTACTTGTCTCACAGCATTCAGCAAGGCAAGGAACTACTACTCTGTATAATTAAGGGTGCACTCACCAATGTACCCAGTTTTTGATTTAAAGAAAACATAACTTTTATCACCATTCTCACATGAGTTATCTATATATATATTGGATCCTTTGTCACAAATTTCTCCAACCTCGGCAAACTATGAGGTTTTGAAGTTAGTAGACTACAAAAAGTCTTCTTGTATACAAATACCACCAAGTATATGGTCTTGTAGATCTGCACCAATTTAAAAAATTTTGTTCTCCTAGAAATTACTAATAAGCATTGATGAAAGTCCTATCTCCTCGGAGGAGGGGGTGGAGGAGGTGGAGCCCCTCTTGATGGTGGGGGAGGTGGAGGAGTAGCCCTAGGTGGGGGTCCACTTGCTCGGTTTCCACTGGGGTTCCCAGAGGCTTTTGTACTGCCTGAGGCTGAGGGAGAAAAGGAAGATTGATAAGTCAAAAGTAAATCCTACAATTCATTTTTTAACAACTGAACAAAGCAAATGCAAATGATTACTGGGGTGAGGTCAATTCAATGGTCAAACCTTACGATTTCCTTCACAGACCCTGAAGTTAAAATAACATCACACTCAAGGGGTACACTCAAGTGTTTTTCTGATTTGGGTCCACATAGTTTTAAGTTCCCCCCCCCCCCCCCCCCCCCCCCCCCCCCCCCCCCCCCCCACACAACTTTTTTTTTTTTACCAAACACTCATTTTTCAATTTTGTCTTTTCCTCAAAAATCCAAAAAAAAAAAAACAAATAAAAAACCACCAACCACACCAAACAACAACTAAAACACACCACAAACAAACACCCCCCCCAAAAGATGTATGGGGTGGGGGTCAATTAAAAGGGTACCCTGTTGTTTTTTGTTCCATACCATGTTATTTAAAAAAAATCACTCCTCAGGGGGTTACCCTAGTTTTTTTTTTCTTTGGGCTCCACATGTTTTTTCTTCCCCCCCCCCCCCCCCTTACGTACCACCCCCTTCCCTTCCAAAAAATTTTTTTTGTACTCAAAGACAACTTGTTTGGAGATTTCCTCTTCAGACCAAAAGTTCAAACAAAACAATGAACTTCAGAGTCCCCTATCAGATGGACACTCAAGGAAGAACCTGCACTGAAACAATAAACCGATTTTTCGGAAATTTATCAAAATAATTTTGAAAACTTTCCGAAAAATTTGTTTATTGTTTCAAATAATTATTTTTTAATAAATATGCAGTCTGTGTTTACAAAGTCTAAAGCCACTTGTCTGCTTTGGTGTTTTAAACTTGAAAAAAAACTATGCAGTGTGAAACATTACATCATGAAACAAAGGAAAACTTACCAGTTTTCTTGGGATTTTTACTAGGATATGTTTTTGCTGTGTCTACAAAAGGTTCTGGTGGTGGCAGATCTGTATTAAATTGAAATCTTGATTCAAAATCATCTAAAAGAAAAAAAGGAACTTAGTTTATACTGGATAACAGCAAAGAACACTGCTCCAAGAAAAATCACAGGCCTGTGCAATTTAATATCTCACGACACCTCTAAAATGAAGGGCTGCTGCTGTCATAGACCTCTGATCAAATGGCAAATTCTCTCTTTGTCTTGCAAGTGTAAACAAGGCAAATTGAAAAGGAGAATCTAACAGTTATCAGCAATCACTTGGGGCACTCCTTCAATTAACTGTTGGAGCTTCGAAAGAGTTGTCATGACTTACCTTCAGGATAACTATGGCTTGGAGCCAGAGGCGGAGGCGGAGCTGGCATTGAGTTCCTTGTTGGTCCATTCATCATAGAACTTGACAATCTATCAATTGGTGGAGGCGGAGGTGGAAGCCCTCCTCTCTTCTCTGTACCTCCTCTTGCTGGGGGTGGAGGTGGTGGTCCTAGCCCTGCCATGGGTGGAGGAGGGGGCAGAGGGGCTGATTCCCTGCTTGGCGGTGGTCCACTACTTCTCTGTTTGTTCATAGGTGGAGGTGGTGGTAGAGCTTGTGATTCCCTGCTTGGTGGTGGTCCACTACTTCTCTGTTTGTTCATAGGTGGAGGTGGTGGTGGAGCTTGTGATGGAGGTCTGGAGGATGGTGGTGGAGGGGCTCTACTAGGAGGTGGGGGTGGTGGCCCTCCCCTTGATGGAGGAGGTGGTGGGGGTCCTCCCCTTGGGGGAGGGGGTTGTGGTGGAGGCATGCTTGGGGCATTCCTCGAGGGTGGAGGGGGTGCAGGTGATCTTGGGGCAGAAACATGTGATGGAGGGGGAGGAGGTGGTGCATTTCCTCTTCCTGGCGGAGGAGGAGGGGGACCTTGTCTCATGGAAGGTGGCCCTCTCACAGGACCACCTGATGGAGGCGGAGGTAATGGCCTGGATCCAGTTCCTGACGGGGGCGGTGGAAGAGGCCTAGAGCTCTCAGAAGACGGCTTGTTTGCCAATGGAGGGGGTGGAGGAGGAGCTGAATTGTCAGGTAAGGAAGGCTTGTTTCCCAGTGGAGGTGGAGGAGGTGCCATCCCAGCTGTTCTGCCTGGAGGTGGGGGAAGTGGTCTTGAATTACCACTGGGAGCTGGTGGCAGTGAGGTACCAGATGTGTTAGGTGAAGGTGGTTTAAATCCTGGAGGTTTCAAGGCTGGTCCTTTAGCTCCTGCAAATGATCAATGTCAGCTTAGTATACTTACTTTACTTGCTTTGTGGTACTTTAAATTGTTATTATTTTATTTATTTACCTCCTGTCCCAGGCCTGCCTCTTTCTGCCGCTGATTTTAGTTTTGGCATTCCTCCAGCAAACAGACCACCAAGTCCCATGGGTGCTGCACCCATACCGCCGCCACCACCGCCGCCGCCACCGCTGCCACCGCCACCACCACTTGGGCTTGGTTTAACTGCAAAAAAAACATTACTTATCAATGACAAATATCAAATCAAACTGTACAAGTGTTGCAATTAACTAGTTACAATGCACTGCTTAGAAAGACCTTTCTACAAACATCTTTACTGAGTTGACCAAGGCAGTCTAGCCGTTACATTAATATACCATTAATTTTAGAAACATGGTGGTAACATACTTTAAAAAACAGAGTGGTAACAATTATTAATATTATGATCAGACAGTGTGAATTAGATGGATACTTAAACAACTTCTTACTGCTACATACATAGGGACAACAAATTATGAGAATTTAAATTAGGGTTGTCGTTATGATGGGAATTCGATTATAAGAAGCCAGTTTGGAATTATCAAAATTCGTACTTGAGTTTGAGGCTGAGGAAAATAAAACAAAACGGAAACAGTTCATCCCTGAATCTCAATGCAACTTCTTTTGTTTTATTTCCCTCAGCCTTGGTCAGCAAAGTATGAATTTTAATTACTTGAAACTGGCCTATTATCAGGACTGTCAAAAAGTTTTTAAGCAGCGGCCTGATAATGAATAGTAGGCAGCTTTGGATCTTGCACCAGAGGCACAAGTTCTTGAAATTTTGAAATTTTGAGTCTCGGAAATGCCATTTCCAGGGGTTTTCAAGATGTATTTTCAGCTGCGGACGCCATGTTCTTTCGTCAGAATACATGCAAGACTGGGAACAATGCCACTGAAATGTCCCAGGCGTTCCACGACATAGCACAGTTCAAACATTTCACAGATCTAAACCTGTTTAAATATGCATTCAATGTCATTCAAAACTGGGAAATGAAGGCTTAACAAATTTTATTCGATGGTGCATATTTTTTGTTAGCAGTTATGGTAATAGGAGGTGAAAGCAGCCAGCTAAGGATAGCTAACTAGCCAGCGGTTTTGGCCAGCTACCAGCCCTTATTGACAGCCCTGATTATGTGACAGCTTGCAAACAGGGAATCAGATTGCTCACCTCCTCCTACAGATGGTGCACTGCGGTCATTTGTTTCTACTTTCTTAAGCCTTGCTCCTTTGTGGATCTGACTCAACAATGCCCCCCTGTCCTGAGGTTTACCAGATGACTTTGGTGGTGGACCAGATCTAGGTGCAGGGGGAGGGGGTGGTCCAGGAGGTGGAGGGGGAGGTGGAGGCATTATTGACTCTTGGAATGGTTTACTCCACCTTCTATAATTTCTTGTATCACCTGAAAAAAAAAGTACAATAAAGTGATCGCTGACTGTCATCTAACTGAGATAGAAAGTACTAGGGTATTGACGATGTAAGGAATTCATATTTTCTGGAAATGGTTTGGAAAGATTTTTGGTTCATCAAGGCTTTTTTCCTTAGAAGATTTAATAGTGTGCAAATACATCAGCTTATGTTAGATTTGCTTTGAAAGTGTTGCAAAAACATCTTAGCAGCAAGTTGTTTCCATAACAAAGATAAGCTAAAAATAATTCTCCAAATAACTTTGAGTGGAATTAAAAGTTTGACCTTAACATAATCTTACCATTAATGTCATTTCTTTCAAAAATGAAGCTAAGAATCAAGATATTTTTTGCAAGGTTTAGGAAGTTTGGTTTTTATCATGGTTTAAATAGTCACACAATGCAACACCACAAGCCCCATGATGTCAAATTATTTGCGCTTCAACTTTAAAATCCAGAAAAAAATCATGCGATGAGAAAAGAACACTTAAATGAGTCAATTTCTAGGACCAAATTAACACAGTGTTTACTTTACTGAAGGCAAGATATCTTTCAATTTCGCTAAAAGAGGAAAACTTGCTGGCATGTGGAAAGAAGGCAATGGTCATCATTAAAACAAAAATAAAATAAAATAAAACGAAACACCATTTCTGGGTGGCATTACCTCAATAAAGAAGAATGCCCCGGATCCCCGGATCCCCCGGATCTAGAGGTTTGGCTTTCCCTTCCTTCAGCTAAGCCATCAGCTTACATTTTAGGCTTCTGTTAGAAAATCTACTGTGAACTCTGCCTTCATTCCGGAAAGTAAGGGTTTCTGTGATTCAAATTTAAAAGTTCTCTTCTTGACAATAGGGAGTAGGAAGTGCTTAAAACAAAGGATTATTGTCAGACAAGAAACAGTCAGACGAGACCACGTGGCGGGCAAATAGATGAGAAGTGCTTATCAAGTGCACATCTAAGATACCACTAACTGTAACATTACGACAACAGAGTGGCATGATTTCCTCTCCCACCTACCCATAACTATAAAACGGTAATGCAAACATCACAGAAGAAACAAAGATACAGTGGAACCCAGATAATACGGACACCAAGGCATCCAGGTGTTCATATTACGCGGGCTCTTCCAGGAAGTTTCGCATACAATATTTTATCGGTTTTAAGACTAAAGCAGACATTTTTACAAGGAAACATTGTTTAATTTCTTATCTGTAACTTAAACAAGTTCATCCCAAAGAAACCTCACACTCTTAGTTTGCGGCTCAGCCAGGTGGAGTGAACATGAGACAGAACGTTTGAAAGGCCATTCACTGTTTCTGCTAGGTTTTCATTGGTAAGATATTAAGTCTAAGACACTGTGCCGATAACCAGTGTCCATACAGCAAGGTTGATAATATATGAGAGTATGTGACTCGGGACACAGAAAAGTGTCCACTGTGCTTATTAACTGGTATCGGTATTAAGCGAGTTAATTTTAGAGAATAAATATCAGCTTTTTGTTGGGGCAAATGAAACTGTCCGTTTTGTACGGATGTTCTCATAATTTAAGCAGGTGTCCATAATAAAGTGTGGTTCTACTGTACAGGCAATAAACTTAAACAGTGCAGACGGACTAAGGCCGGGATATTTACATGAGACTGAGACGAACTCAAACCATTATGAGTTCATATAGGTCTCCATACAATTCTTTTCATGCGTTTACATGGGACCGGCCTAAAAATAAACTTAGACCGGTCTGACTTCAAGTTATGAGTTAAGTCGTACCGGTCGTATCTTACCGGTCTGAGTCTGTACCGTTCTCATGCACGTAAAAGGGAAACGAATCTCAGACCAGGTCAATAAATAGCATGCTTCTTTGTATGGCTCCATCATTTTTGCTTTTTCTTAGCAAAAATAGGAACACAAGCTATGGAAAGACTTAGAAGTAGCTTCAATTGAATATAAGGCTTGAATTAATGAGAAAGATTGCACCATTTTGAGATGCTGTGCAGTAAATATTAACAGGCTACCAGATGAGCATTAGATAAAGCTTATAACTTTCTGGGAGCAGTAAACTCTTCGGTCAACTACTCACTGTCTACATTGGCATAAATTGTGCTCCAGTTAGGGCAGATACTATAATACTTGTTAAATAATCAACTTGTGAAAGTTATGTAGCTCCCAGAATCTCCTGTTTTTGAGTTTGTACTCGTTTCATGTAATTGACCAAACATATTTTCTTCCCGGTCTCATGTAAACGGCTAAAAAAATTACAAATTCGTACCAGTCTGAGTTCATCCTGGTCTCATATAAATACCCCCTCAGCTATAAATATGAATTTGTAAAACTGAATGTAATGGTGGGGGACTGAGCTGCTTAGCCTTGCTATTCGAGAATAGTATACACAGTTCATAGTCAAGATATAAGTGAAAGCAAGGGAGGACATGACACTGGTCAAAGTCCCAATCTAATCCTGATTATGCCAAAATGGAGCTCAAATATGTGGAACAGAGTAAGGATTATGCATACTGTAAATGATCTAATAAATGCCCACTCTTAAATAAACACCTCTTATCTAATAAACGTCCTCCTTACTCAGTTAAGTTTGTATCAAACGTCCCCCCAACCCCCACGAAAATTGCTCCAAAATACTAGGAAATGGCAAAATAGGGCAAAATCAATCAATTTAGTAATTTTATTGTTTGATTAACATCGGTTTGTGTATTATGTCATGTTCAATTTCATGTTCAAAGTAAGGATAGCACTCTTTGATCTTCTTGATCTCAGTGCGCACTCGTTAAAGTACCCTCTTGATTGTAGCAAAAGAGAAAAATAAATTAAATTAGAAACCTTGGAGTGCAAAAGCTGTCAGCCCGCAGTTGAGATTCTGTTAACACAGAGACGCTTTTGGCCGAAAGCATATTGTATTAAAAGTTACAAGAATAAACGCCTCTCTCTTTTAAACTCCTCCCATTTATTAAACACCCCCTCATGGACCCCTAAAATTTAATAAACGCCCCGGGCGTTAATAGATCATTGACCGTATTGATATAAATGGCAAGATTGGGTTAATAACATGCTTAATGGTAGACAATCGGGTTATTGTTTATAACAAGTATAAAATGCAAAGGGAATTTGTCAAAAAACTCTTCTTTCCAACTTGGTATAATGTGAGAATTAACACCCTTGAAGGTATTGTCATGAATAAGCTTACAATACAAAATTATTGCAACTGTAACCTAAAACATAAGCCATAAGCTAAACGTCTATCTATAGCCAATAGAGCACTACTGCTCAAACTACTGTAGCTTATTTTGGTGCGTCAGATTTATGTATGATTTAAAGTTTATAAGAGGGAGAATTAGATAAGACAGTTTTCTTCCTAGACAATTCACCGTAGCAAACATCAAACACTTTTCCCACTCACATGACAGGGAACTTCTGAGTAGCTGTCCGAGATTTATAGTACATTAGGTTTGTACTTCCGCTTATGATGACTTAGTTTCGCTCTCCTTCGGCAATACTGTTTATCGGAACTTAATATTTCGATGACCACAAATAGATACGGATGAAATTACAACAATGGTTAAATTTTTCGCACTTGATCTGAGATTCGATAAAAAGTAGACGTGTAGCATTACGGAACATTCAATTCGCACACTATTTCCTTAATAGGAAACAGCACTTGCCACATAATCTAGTTCAGACATGTGACTTCTTGGAAGTAAATTGCTGCTTAGATAATTATTGTCACGATGATCACTATGGGGAAAGAAACTAGATCACAGTAAGAAAAATCCCGTAACTTAAACGAAGTTGCAAATACTGGGAAATGTCAATTTCAATCGCTGGGACGCGTGCGACTTTATAACGCTTGCAAGAAGATGACAACATTTTTATCACGCTACATAGGAGGAAGTTACTCCCCGACTATATACAAGAGATTATTGGTTACAAAATGTACCACTGGCTACAAGATTCAGTGTCGAGTGATCATTACGTCTATTGGCCGTGAAATTGTACAAGAACTCCTGAAATGGTGCAACATGCATACCAAAATTAGGTTGCTTTCGCGCCTCGGAAAATCTCAGTATCATACAATTCTTACCTTAGAATTCAACCTCTATACTCTAGAGGTTCCATATTCTCCCACAATATACTTCAAATGCTATTCATAAACTCAGGATCTAAGAGAGCTCCAAATTTCGGAACGGTTGCCGGTGAACAAAAATGGCCGTAGAAATATAGTACAGGGTTGCGAGTTAGTGCCATGTCGTCACCACCCCTGATTATGACGTATTTCCTCACTTCCAGTCCCACGCTGCTAGAGGTTCGCAGGACGAGGATAACGCGCGTGTAATTTTTGATTTTTCTGTTTCCGCGTACCCGTGTACCCGCGTTCTTAAAGAGGCAGAATTTTCATTTTTAAGAAATATTTACCTCATCGTTCTTTTTTTATATAAATATATCCAGAGACGTGACAATAAATAACGTTTGAAGATTTTCTTTTTTAGAATTCAAACTTAATCTGGCTTGATATTATTATGTTTTATCTTATTTTTCATTTTAGTCTAGCCACTCGGACTGACATTCCCAGTACTGAACATTGTCCCTGGGAGTTTCCCTCGAATTTTCGGCATCCTTTATTTCTATGAAAATGAAAACGAGCAAAAAGAGGAAACATGAATGAACCGGATAAGAATTAAATGCAAAGAAGATCATGGCAGCCATTCAGATGAGCCTAGCGTGCGCATGCATATGCATACCGTATTTATTCGATAAACACCGCAAATAGAAGCAAAACTACCAATAAACGCCGCACCTCATCAGAAGAATGCGGCGTTTGCTCGAGGATAATAAGAAAAACCTTGGTACGACTTGGTAATTTACGCAATCCAGACATTTACGATTCTATCTCAGCAAAATAAGCCGACGTTGGAACCTTTAAATTGCATAATATTTACAAACGATTTACAATAACTGTTCTCAGTGATTTTAAAAAAGTGATTTCAAAATAAACGCTGCATCGGAAACGCTAAAAATTTGATAAACGCCGCGGCGGTAGCTGAAGTATAGAAAAAATATATATTTTTATTTTCTGAAAAAGCATTTTTTTTTAATCGTTAAATCGACTGATACATTTTTCACACTATATTGATGTCTTTGTGTTAATGTTTCCTTTATCCTCATGTTATCAGTCCATAATTCTGATAACGTCATTGGCCTTTTTCACCGACAACACAAGGGATGAGTAAAATGAACAACTAAGGCATTTTTCTGCGTATGGAAACGGCCTTTTCGAGAACCTAAATTTAAGAATTTTGGGGGGTATGCCCCCAGACCCCGCTAGGTTGGGCCACCTTCGGCGCTACGATTTTTCTCCCCCACGAGCGTACGCCCTCAAAATCTTACGCTACGCCCCCTGCCATTAGACGCAACTTTTGCAGTTGCGAAAAGATTAGAGTGTCTGAAAAAAGTCTGGCCTTTAAGATTTTTTGAGTAAATAGGCCAGTTAAACTTTCCTTCTTTTGTATTTTAATGATAAATAACAAGGGAATGAAAAGAAAGAGAAATATTAACAGCGTGTGGCATCGAATTGAAGAATTTTACTCCTCTGGTTTTCCGGTACGAATGGTGGCCAAAAGCAGGCCCTTAGGTAGGGATGCGCTGGCACCCATCCCCATCCCCCCTTCCCCAGATCCAGAGGTCCACTTTTTTGTTTATCAAAGATTTAAAACAAAACGAATTAATAGTATTGTTCTATTCTAATTCACTGATTTTGTGGTAAAATTTAAAATAATGTGAAGGAGTTGACAAGCCTAGCTCAAGCACGCTTCCCACAAAACGTGTTGTAGCCTTCGTTAAGTAATAATAGATTTAGCCAAGGCTAAAAGCGAAGCTCTCGTTAACTAGATACTTATAAACAAAAAAAAATAAAATCGTGTAAGGCTAAACGGCAACGACAATGAGAACGGAGTGGAGCTTAATGTCGTTGGTCGAGGGTAGAGGTCGTGGGTCGTGGGTGTGGTGGGTAAATAGGGCCATTTATACGAGGAAAAATAAGACGCGTATTAAGTAAGACTCGAACTGTACCATTTATAGGAGCATGTCTTATCTAATAAGACGCGTCTTAGCTAAACCGCGTCTTATTTTAGACGAAATGTGCCGTTTATACGGAAAGTTCGCGTCTTATTTAAGACGCGTCTTATGTGAGACTCGTCTTATTTTTCCTCGTATAAATGGCCCTAATGTCGTGGGTAAAAAAAAGTTTCCAAAAAATATATTTAAATTTAAGTAGCAAAAAGTTTTAAAATTCATGAAACGAAAGTCTCCGCGTACCTACCAGAAGTCCTATTCCCCTTCCCCGAGGTGAGCGAAGCAAATCGAATCCTTTAATTTAGTACAAACGGACACTAAAAGGCATTTAGGCGAAAAATAAAAGAAACTCTGTGCACTATGTTAACCTAAACATCCTAAAGAAAAAATGGAGACTGAACGGCTTTTTCTCAAAGATGTCAATATTCTTGACTGAAACGTCCTTTCAGTTTAAGGAATGATATTCACAATCGTTACAGCAAAGATTTTGTACACAAAACAAAACAAAAAGAATCGAGAAAATCAAATTTCCGTATTGCAATAAAATTTACGTACAGTAAAAGATATGAAATAGCTCAGCTATTTCAAAAATTGTCCTTTCTTCCCCTCACTTCCCCTCCCCTTTCCCACAGTGATCGCATTCAGCCCTGTCGCATTCCATGGCGTTAAAAAATCTCCGCTGATCATTGGAATTGTAGATCGAATTAAGATTAATAGTGAGCAGTTACTTCCATTCAGCTAGTCAGAGCTGTCCCCTACTTTCTGCAAATCAGTGTACGTTTCGACATACTTGACATCTTCTTTTATTTCGCGGTGATCGCTCAGGTATGAATAAATCGTCATCGGCAACAGGTCCCTTTATACAGTGATGTTGAGAAAGGGGAAGTCCCACGTGGCCAAGGAAAAATCAGGAAGAGGACGACGAAGAAGAAGCCGTGAAAAGGGAAATCAAGGAGTCGGACATTTTCGTTTCATAACTATTACAATTTTTTTCATTTTTTTTTTTCAATTACTTTACTTACTCATTTTTTTCTTTATTCTTTTTACCCACGACATTTACTCACACCCACACCCACACCTACGACCCACGACCTCTACCCACTACCCACGACCCACGACATTTAGATACACTTGGTGCTTCGCTCACGCGTGCGCAGCTCCGCTATAAAGTTCTAAGGGGATTTGGTATAGTCTTCAAGGCATTTAACCCTTTCTGGCGTCCCTTGCTCCTTCATTTCGTCCTTAACGGGTAAGTTTTGGAGGATTTGAAGCGTTGCTTGCAGGATATATTGAAGCTCCTATTAAAGCTACTCTACTCTTGTAGTTTAAAAAAAGTAGCACTGTCACTCGGATAAGAGTGTTGCATCCTTCAACTCCAAGCCCTTTCACACGTTTTAGAATAATGCGTGTCGCAAGTCTTAAGGCTGGAGAAAACTGATATTATAATTCTTCCTTTTGCAGTTATCGTGACAGTTGCTGGCTAGAGCGCAACATTACTTTTAAACTTCATTTTGTGTTTGCGGCGAGGGTGGTACAACCGTTCTGGCCGTACGTGTCAAGGATCCAAACTTGTCGTTTTCCAATTGGCAGTTAAGCAGCTAATTACAAAGGGTAGATCTTGAATCCTCTTATGCTTGAAGGAGATGAAGGTACAAATTGTCCCCGTTTGTGCAGATTTTTCTTCGAGGATAGTTTACGCTCAAAAAGTAATATTTGAGGCACAAGAGAGGCTCTGTTCACTAGCTCTCAGTGCACATCCACTTTTTGAACAGACATTGAACCGGAAGAAGTCGACGTTGACTTGTTCGCTATGAAGCATGCACCAAGGGAGGCTTGACTTCTGGTGAAACTTGAATGATCTGAATGGACCTAAATGATCATGATGATCAGCAGCCCCCGGGGGGGGGGGGTACTCCCTTATATAAGCTATACCGGTATGTGCCGCCCCATCGCATTACTAGCCAGCGTAGCAAGCGCTTGGAAATAGTGGCCACAAGAAAAAACGCGCGCGAGAGAAGGAGACACGCGTGTCTCCCTCGTGCGCGCCTGTTCTCTCTTCCGTCCACTACTTCCAAGCCCCTGCTACGCAGGCTACGCATATCGGGTAGGGTTTTTGCGCCGTTTGAAAACGGATATGGATTTTGGAAGTCTGGTCTGAAAACGGGTGTGAAAAATTACATTTTTGGTCTGAAATAGGCAGGATTTGGAGAACAAGGCGGTACACCTCAACAAGAATTCCCAGGAGTACCCCCCGGGTCAGCAGCAAACCAAGCAAATTACGGTACACAGATTTACAACTTTCTTTCGATTTTTTTCCTTCTAATTAGTGACACTGACATTGTCTTCCTCAGACTTTGTAAAATAAAGTAGTCTCTGGGCCCAAAATAAATTTAGTTTTGAAGTTCGAAAACATGCAAATATTTTTTTTAAAAAAAGCTCGTAATGCAGTCTCAGACGACCTAATTTCCACGCCCCCCGGCATTATTGGTCTGCCAACTCGTTGAATCGCACCCCAGGAAAAAAAAACCTGGCTACAGGCCTGGATTGGCAAAGTTTATTTTCTTTTCTTTCATATTTCACGCTGTAAAAGGCTTGTTTCATTGTAAATATACTCAATTTGACAGATTTTGTAAAGAAGAGTTTCTTAATATTTAAAAAATAACAATAAAATATAATTTAAAAAAATTAGAGTTTAGATGCTGGTTGAGGAGAGGAGAAGAAAAAACCAGAGTACCAGGCGAAAACCTCTCGAAGCAAAAGATCCAGAGAGAACCAACCACGCTCCCGGGACCAACGAATTGCTAGTCCAACACGCTGTCGTCCTACTCTGGGTTCCAGAGGTTATTTTTTGTTCTTCTTAGGTATTTCGAGAACGATCTCTGGAGCCAGGGTACTGTCACCCAAGCTGCCTCCTCAGTCCAGTGAAGTCGTCATTAGTTTTAACATAAAACTGTGACAGGTTTGAAAGGTTTAACATGGGTTTAACTGTGAAAGGTTTAACATAGGGAGCTTAAGCAACGACAACGGCGACGGCGACGGCAACGAGAACGACAAAAACCAATATGTTTAGATTGCCAAAACTAAACAACTTTGCACGTGCATCACGCTTTTTTGTACATTTCTTAGCGTTGCACGACTACAACGTGAAAGCGCCTAATTTCACGTTTTGTCGAAGACGGGAACACAAAACAACAATTTTCTTTTTTCTTTTCCTGAACTTTGATGAAATCCTACAGAATTCAACTCCGAAGAAATTTGCCGACATTTGACGAATTAAACGAGGTGTAATAAGCGCGATAAAGTTTGAGGCAGCGCGAATTCTCTTTTTTAGTGACGTTTTCGTAGCCGTCGCCGTCGTCGTTGCTTAAGCTCCCTAAAAAATTCAGTGAGAACGTCGACACACCTACCTCGTGCAAGGGTGGGGGGGGGGGGGGGGGGCCGGGGGAAATTTTGAAGCCAAACCAAAAAAACCCCCATTCCGTCAGACAGGAAAAAAAAAACGCCCAAAAATAAAGGAGAATTGGCAAAAATTTTCAATTAAAATTTTTTTCCACTCCCCACTCCGGCGCCATTTATTTTCTTCTTTCCCCCTCCTTCAAAGTAATTTAGTGCCTGCCGGTGCCGTCTTGCCAGAAGCTCCCGATAAGTGTCTGGGAGGAGGCAGCGTCGAGGGCGGGTGCAGGGGGGGGGGGGGGGGGGGTGGGGGGCAGGGGGAATCTTTGAAGCCATACCAAAATGACCACCATTCAGTCAGACAGGAAAGAAAAAACGCCCAAAATATACGTAGAATTGGCAAGAATTTTCAATGAAAATTTTATTCCACTCCCCACTCGAGCGCACTTCATCTACTTCTGTCCGCTTCATTCAAAGTAATTTTACTACCGTCTAGATTTTAGCGGAAAGTTGTCCCATTCACCGAAATGAAGCCTAGTAAGCTAAAGAAGCGAGGAGCATTACTGTTGGCGGACGAAGAGAACGAAGTGAAAAGTCGAGGGGGCAGTGAAAAATTTGAGTTTGCCCTAACTTCCAAAGCTGCTTGCAAACCAAAATTTTGAACAGTTAGCTTCTTTTTTTGTCAGAGTTTGACCAGGAAACGGCTAGAATAGCTTTAAAAAGCGTTCTTCTTCGCGGCGTTTTACTGTTTAAGTATATTCAGTTGAGGTAAAAATAGTTTCGCGTGATTGGCTCCTAGAACGAGGAATATTCACGCCATATTGTTGTGTGTGCAGTTTCACTGCTCAATTAAGTTCGTATCAAAATGAACGATTTCTGAGAGGAGAGACGACTTCTTTCCGTCCTTCCTAAGTCGAATCTTCTTAAGGGTGGCAATTTTCACTCACGCTCTATTAATTCGTTCATTCTACAACTGAAGACTATCACTCCTCGTCCATAGCGGAGGTCGTTCTTCAAAAAGCGGGTTCGATTGAAAACAAAGTAAAGATTAACAAGCTAGTGTCGAAAAAGATTTTATTAAGAATCCTACAATTGGCGGCAGCGGAGTGGCTTCCACTTAATGTACAATCCAGTCAATGAGCGCAACTTAAGTGTTTTCAGTAGAATAAATGCAAACAACGCAAGAGTGGTCTACATTAGCTATCACTACAAGACTACACCTTCCACAGCAACACTTAAACCCTCAACACAAGCACAAAGGTAGATTTGGGATGAAATATAATTAGAAGCTGCCTATTACTGTTCTCGGATAATGTAGCTCTGTTTAACCTATTCTGTCCTTGGTCTTTTCATTAAAATACCCTTGAGTTTTAGCAGAGGGGTGATCTCGAACTTACAATTGCATTGGTGGCTAGTCATTTGCAGGATTTTACAGATACCGATTTCTCCTCATGGTGGCACCAAAGCAATACAGCATACAGATTTCAAATTCAAATGTCACACATGATCTCAACAAGCAGCACTGTTAATAAATGTGTCTAGGCAGAGAAGATGCACAAAATTGAATCGTAGTTTCATTCTTAAACAGAATCGCAGCCATTCTTTTAAAATCCCATTCCTCCCATCCCTCCCATTCCACCCATTCCTCCCATTCCAGCCATTCCAGCCATGTCAGCCTTCTCATCCTTTGGCATCTCAACAATGACCGTCTCAGCTGTCGTTAAGAGCGACGCGACACCAGCAGCATCTGTGATGGCAGTTCTGACTACCTTTGTTGGGTCAATGATGCCCTCTTGGATCATGTCTACATAAGTGTTATTAAGTGCGTCGTAGCCTTGGTTACCCTCCATTTCGAAAACCTAGAATCGGTAAAAAGAGATGTTATTGATACCCACGTGGCCATACTCAAAGCAAAAAAAGATAAAGAATCCTTATTTTATTGAAATAGTGATCTGACTAATAAACCTGAGGCCGACGGTGGGTTCATTTTACCCCCGCCCCCCTGCCCATCAGTGCTCAGTTTTACGGGTATTTAAAGCTACTTAAAGCCACACGGACAGGAGAGAAGTCGAAAGAAGGATTTGAGGTCACACCTGAAAATCGAACTCGGGACCTCCCGGACAGAAGGCTGCGCCAATCCTTCCTCCTCAGTCTCTCTCCCGGAAAGACGTGATGTTCCAACAACCTGTGCGGAACTCACCATCAGAGTTGGAGTGGAGTTTGTTCTGCTGAACAGTCCGTCTAATTATTTAAAGGAGCCGTGTCACTAAAGTTATAAATTCAAACAGTGAAAACTGCTACCAGACTGAGTGGAACTTCAAAATGATTGCTTAAAACATGAAACGAAGGTATAAATATCACAGGGAATACAAAAGGACGCCTAACACGGATGGCAAACTTAAAGATTGAAACAGATTGTAATTGTGGTTTTTGAAAACTTGCTAGGCTAACAGTTTTTCGAAGTTCATTTTTGTCGTTTGTTACGTTTGATATAGTGCTTGGGAAACAATTTTGTTTTACTCGAACCTCTGATATTGTCATTTACATGTATTTCTCAAGCTCCATAGTGAATAAGGACAAGTAATTGGCATTATTAAAAAGATGAACTAGACAACCATGAAACAGCCCCTTAAAATCAAAGGTGCACGCCTGCGTTGTTAAAGTTTATACTGCACATACTCTGTTTAATTTAATTCGACAGAAGTTGCTAACTAGAAAACCAGAAGGGTAAAGTGTGAACTGTTTTGTCTAAATACGGATGCTGGAGTAGAAGTGAGTGTCCATTCAATTTCAGTGCTGTTTTAGATTTCTTTCTGCTTATTTTACATTGTAAGCCCGAGTGCCAACGAACGAACATGTTTACTTTAATTCTAGATCGAGAGTGTGTGTATGTGATTAAAATACGATTCTTACCTTTGTGTCTGGCGTTTTCATTCGATCAACAGAACAAAAGTGCATAATCAACTTGTTATAAAATGTTCAAACATTAATAGTACTCAATTAAATGTACCTTCTCGACCACGAGGGCTGACTCTACACCAGCATTTTCAGCAATGGTCTGACAAGGCTTGCGAAGAGCTCGCCTGACGAGTTCCACTCCCTTTTGCTGATCCTCATTAGCTGTTGTAACGCTGTCAAGGCTCTTGATGCATCTCAACAATGCAACGCCTCCTCCTGGAACAATGCCCTCCTCCACAGCAGCCCTTGTGGCATTAAGAGCATCAGTAACGCGGTCTTTCTTTTCATTGACTTCCACCTCACTGGAACCACCAATCTATAAGACGCAACCACTAACCCTTTAAACCCTAAGATCAAAATTTGAATTCTCATTTGTTGCCCCTATTCATTTCCTACAGAGGTAGTGGGAAGAAGTTGATAAAATATCAAGTAACTTCATCTTGTGTGATCATGTCTGTAATTTTCATGACCACTCTGTTTTACAAAGCATTCATATTACAAGGAGAAATTTGATGCTGATCACTCTTGGGGCTTAACGAGTTAATAAAAACATTGTCAAGGAGTGTAAGTCAAAAATTACGTCTTGTGCTAATATCGTGGGTGCAACCTCTTAAACTTCTCTTCAAGCTGAAAACAGTGTGACCCTCAAAAAAGAATTACGTATGTCATTTTTAAAAATATATAGTAACCATATCTAAAATAACCAATGGCTGATAAGAATCCGTTTTGGCTGGAAGATTTGCATAGCCATAAACCACTTTGGGTTGACCTTATCAATAATATACTGTTTTTTAATTCAAAAGCTTATGAAGTTGTAAAGTTATTGCACAAAAAAGAAAAGTTGTTAGCCTCCTTAAAAGTTTTACTAAATGTGCTATTTCCGAAGCATGCTGTTAGGTAAAAACCGTGCTGTCATGCACTAGAAAAAACATTTCTATTACCTACCTTCAAGATGGCAACACCATCAGAAAGTTTGGCCAGTCTTTCATTTATTTTCTCCTTTTCATATTCTGATGTTGTCATCTCCAAGTCTTCCCTCAGTTGAGCACACCTTGATTCAACATCCTCTTTTTCTCCTTTGCCTTTCAAGAACAAAGTGTCGTCCTTGGTGATTAACACCTCTCCCACTTCACCAAGATCCTCTATTGAGACATTTTCAAGTTTTCTTCCCAGAGCATCATCATCAGACACCACACCACCCATGGAAATGGCCATGTCTTGAAGAGTGTTTTTACGATTGTCGCCAAATCCTGGGGCCTTAACTGCCGCCACCTGTAGACCAACCTTAAGTCTAGAAAATTGAAGAAAAGACATCTTAGTTATCATTATTATGGTAACAGGACTGAGTGGAGTGTAATTCAGTCTGTAATCATAAAAGTGGTCAAAAATGAGATGACTACATAGAGGGAGTCCGTTCTTATTAATAATCACAACTTAAGCAAAATTAGTGATATCTGCAGCTTTTTAAAAAGTAAAGTACTACATATTCCAAACGTTTTTCAGGTTTAAAGTGAAAAAAAAAACATTCAGGTGCACATGCACTGACACATACTGTGCAATTACTCGAATACTTTATTTACATGTCATAGTATTTAGCTATATATACAGCTAATGGGGGACACAGATTATCTACAAGCATAACAAGTATCCCTTAATTAAATAAAAAATAAAAGATAGTATATTGAGTATATAATACATTCTTGAAACCTTTCTAAGACTAAAACTATAAAACCTATCACATACACAATTACTTTCCACAGTTGGATTATGACTGTACCGGGGGTATAAGTTTACTAAATGTATTGCTGTCCTATTATTCTGTCCTATTAAATCTGAAATCAGGACAGCTGATAGCCAATCAGGATTGAGAATTTCATTATAGTTATAATTAAGCTAAAAATATCAACCACGTATAGCATTTTGTGTAATTTTTTGTCTCGGTAAAACAGCTCAACTCAATAACAGCTATAATAAAAGTATTTCAAATATTATATTTTATTTACTCTTCACTTGAAAGTGCCCCATCGATCGGCTCCTACACCAACGTCCACTCGGGTTACATACAACATTTATCAAAATAATGATAGTTTAATACCTGTTGAGTACAAGGGTGGTAAGGGCTTCACCATCAACATCTTCAGCTACGATAACAAGCGGCTTCCTGTGTGCATTGGCGAGTTCCAGTACAGGGACAATTTGCTGAATTGATGAAATCTTCTTCTGACAAAGAAGAACCAAACAATCCTGGAATTCAACTCTTTGTCCTGAAAAAAAAAATTGTCATAGGATTAAGCTAGTAATTATTCAATGGATGCAACATTAGTGATCAGACTCTTTCAAAGAGGCAAAGACGACCGAATTTCAAATTAATAATAATAATACTTAACTTTTCCTCACACAATGTCAATTAATTATTAATTGACATTGTGCAAAGAGTTGTAGACAACTACCTACACTGGAAAATATGACAAGTCAGTTAACATTTCACTGCAATAAAAATTTCAACTGACCCCTTAAATTTATAAAAATCTTTAGTTGGCTTATTTTCTTTTAATTATTTTTAGCCATGGCCTCACTTTATGTTACCAAAATACCTTTGGTTGTGTTGATGAAATAAGGGGAAATGTATCCACGGTCAAACTTCATTCCCTCAATCACCTCTAATTCATCATAAAGAGTCTTGCCGTCCTACAATGTGAAAATTTAATACATTAACCTGGTATCAAATCTCCTATTATTTAAATCTTGAATCAACTATATGACACAAGCCACAAATGTTTAGAATAATATAATATTGAAACTGAAGTATTCACCTTTACGGTAATAACTCCATTTTTTCCAACTTTCTTCATTGCTGATGAGATCAGGTCACCAATGCCTTTGTCTCCATTTGCAGAAATTGTTGCCACCTAGAAGTAATGCACCTATCAATGTAAATCCCGTGGGGGGGGGAGTGCGGGCAAGGGGAGGGGAATTGATGCCTGGGACTATCCCCGCTATCGGGCTTTTGATCGTGCGAAGCGACCCCGGGGTCGGGACATTTGACTTTGACCGACAAAAGCCCGGTATCAATTTAGAAGCAGTTACCAAGTCCGTCCCTCGAGGCTTCCTGAAAGTCACGCTGTTGGAGAAAGGTATGAAGTTTTCATTTGTTTTAATCGCCATAATCCGATACTTTAAACTGTCATCTAAACAGATAATGTCTATTTTGAGAAAGTTTTTATCTTCAAGTTCCCATCTGATTGTAAAACTCGATTGAAATCGAATTCCACCACGAAAGTCAGAGGATTTTTTATGGGTCACTGATCCGACCTGTTCCGACATGTTGAGCAGATGTTATAAAGCATTTTAAGTTTTATTAATATTATATAGCACAGTCAATCTTCCGGGAGTAATTTTGTTGTTCAAGATAAGAGATGCTAGTGGAGAGAGAAAATACTTAATTACAACGAGTAATTTAATGGAGCTTCCGTTAACCGTAAATAAAAGTAGTAACAACGTGTTTGAAATGTTCTTTTATTCGTTTTATATAGTATTATAGCACTGTTTGTTTAGATTTTTTCCCCTGGGGTGGAGGCTTTTTTGACACTTTTGATTGACCTTTCGTTTCCCACCCTGGGGAATTTGATCGAAAAATTTTAAAATTTGTCAAATCCCCACCCCTTGCCCGCACTCCCCCCCCCCCACAGGGTTTACATTGATAGGTGCATAAGTTGATGGCGTGTCTCATAAATAAAATTTATAATTCTAAAATGAACACTGCATAAAAAATGTATCATAGTGAAAGGTTTGACCCCGGGACTCATTTCGTATGTAGGTGGGATTATATGGTCCTCCGGATGAGTGTTGTCCTGAATAGGACTGTTGTTGACAATGACTGATGAAGCGGAATTAAGTCGTCTTCAGATACAAGGCAAGTTGTATCATGACCAGTTAATGGTATTCAACTCTCACTGATTAAGGAGCATGACATGATTGGTCAAATACAGTTGAACCTCCATCAAGCGGCCACTCTGTACAAAGTGGCCAGTAATCAAAGTCCTGAATTATTGTAGAAAAGAATCAGGAATTACTGTACGAAACTTGCAGCGCTGTACAGCGCCACAAAATCACTTCAAAATAGCTGTACAGCTAAATAGGCCATTTGCACTAAGAGGTCATGTGACATCTTTTTATGAAAATGAAAGTTACATGACTTTTTCTTCAAAAAACGATTAGTGGGTCCTATTTTTAGCAAAATAATAGTGATTTGGTTTTTCAAACCTCTACCATTTTCTTAAAATGAGTGAGTTCGTAGCTGGTCACGTGACCAAACTGTGATTTTTAAAATTATGAATTACCTCTTTCTGAACACAAATTTTGCACTTAAACTTCAAGGAAAGTGTTGAAAAGTTGATGTGGGAATGTTTACAGCACATCTGAGCGTAACTACCAAACGTTAACAAGATCTAAGCAAAAAGTAGTTTTGGCCGCCATGATGGAGGGCAAGAGTATGCCCTCCAACATGGCGGCCAATACAAATGATACTACTTTGTTGAAAAATCAAAGTGCCATAAAATATCCCCTGTAAATGCGTTTCCTCTCAAATTTCGGGTGTAAGATAATTTTTATGTGCTCTGTCAAGTTTTGGCATCAGCAAGATTCCAACTCATTGTTTAAAGGAAGCATTAGTCACGTGACCTCTTAGTGCAAGTGGCCTATTACAGCTGTTCAGCAGCCTTTTAGAAGCCAAACAGCAGCTTCATTCAAGTTGCAGCGTGATGCAAAAGTGCTGTGCAGCCTTTGAAGGCTCTTTGAAGCTTTCGGCAGCGGTTTTGCAGCGCAGTTGCCGACTTTCAAACGCTGCGAAGTAGCTGCAGTAAGGCTACAATTCAGTTGCAGTCGATGTGACTTTCTTGAGCGCCAATAACATGAATCGCCAGATAAAGCCTTGGCACAGATTACAGCTTTTATAACGCGGAAACTTTGACTGTACCTCTAAGAAATGTGAGTAAGCTTGTGCGCAAGGAAGATCACTTATTGAATAAACCTCCAAATTCTATGCTTTCGGAATAAAGATTTCAATAAATTTCATTCCGTGACCAGCGAGTGTGGGAATGTTATCGCTAATTCCCTGGAGATATTCTAGGCCGTAATCTAATTGGTCGGTCCTTTCGCAAGAGATCCCATTACATCTCTAGACAAACACGGGATCGCCCAAACATTTGCAACCGTTGAATCCTAGGCACAAACATTCTAATTTTTTTGGCATCTAGTTCTGTTTCGAGATGGAAGTTCTGTTGAAGTTTTTGGATGGAACAGCTCAAACGTATTTGCAAACAACGCACTGAACAGTGACTTCTACGCCAAGTATCGACGAATCGAACCAGAGCAAGCAACACAGATACAAGAATCTCAGATGGGCTTCGCACTTACAAGATTCTTATACGCTCGTGGTAATGTTCGTTCCTTAGTCCATTGTAAAATTTAAGGACAACCAAAGTAAAATTGGGTTGATTTCTTTCATGAAAAAAGTGTAGAAGATCGTGGATCATGGACAAAACGTCAAGGTGAGCAAAATCCAGCTTAGCCCGTTGCAACGAATCAAAATATCATTTGGCTGCTGTCGTGTAAACTTTATGTAGAACAATCGCTGTTATTCTCTTTATTTTTAAAAAAGATAATTTTCAATGTCTGCATGTTAATGGATGTTCTTACATTCAAATGAGTGACCGTGACTGCTAAATATTTACAAAGCGAGACTGCTGCAGATTTGTTCTATGTCACGTGCTTTTGTAACGTGTACGCGTGGATACTAATAAAGAAAAAGTTGCATTTTGACTTTCTAGTGGTTTTTACTCTGCTACTAAGGCCTTGTCAACTCCTCTACCATGTATCATGATTATTGTATTATTGGAGCCTGCATTTTTTTTTTTTTGTACTAACGAGTGGTAGGGCATTACCAGTAACAACAATCTTTGTCTTTTCGAAGCCACTTTGCAGCCACTTTGCAGCACAGATCGTAATTCGGGAATTTTCTGTACCGCTGCAAAAGCGCTGTTTATCGCTGTCAAAGGGCTTTCCACTGCAGCCAAAATTTGCGGCTGCTGCAGCCCAGCGCTTTTACAGCTCTTTTGTAGCGCTTCTTGAAGCCATTCTGCAGCGCTGCAGCAGCACTGCTCATTTCGTACGGGTAAACCTCTAATAAGCGGCAACCTCTTTTAAGTGGCTGCTACCATATTTTTGCCGTCCCAACAAGAGTTCTCCCATTGTTGTCATCTCTATTAAACTGCCATTAAGCGCTTGATACACTTAGTTCGACTTCATTTTAAGAATATGATGAAGGAAAATGCAGTTCAGGATAGATGGTGATAAACGATTGTGGACCAAAAATGCTTCTTCCGTCGCATCACGTGATGTTTCTGCTACCCATTCTCCTTATTTAAGACAAAACTCTATTGAGCGGCCAGCCTCCATTAAGCGGCCACTTGCCTATACCATGGAGGCGGCCGCTTAATGGAGTTTCTATTGTAAATCATCATATTGTTGGTCAAATGTCAGTTATGCCATGACGTGGCCTGTGAAAACAGCCATCTCTTCTCAGCGAGGCATGATGTTATTTGGCTATAAAGACTCTAAATCAAATCATTATGGTAGGTGACAAACCCTTCAAAACAGTGGTAGAAAAATAATTCTATGTACTATTTTAAAATGCCTAGAACTAATTAAGATGTAATTATTACTTTTTTTCTAGTGTAGCTTTGAAAGTTCAACTAGTCGATATACCTGGGCAATTTCTTCAGGAGTAGTGACAGGCTTGGACATTTTCTTCAGGTTTTCAACAATAGTCTCCACAGCCAACATAACACCTGGTAAAACAGTTAAGAATACCATCAAATAGTTTTAATTAACACAAGAAGACTTTGCAAAAGCAACACAGCTGTATGCGAGCCTTTATTTTTTATTAACACCACACGCATTTACTGCCTGCAGTAAGAACCCTTCCCTAAGGGGCTATTTGCATAGAGGGAGCAAAGTCCTAGCAGCACCAGGATGATCCTAGAAGGCAGAACAATTACTTTTTGTTGGGTTTACATGCAGAAATTTCAGTCTGTGTGGTTACCAAGTAGACGAGGTATTATAGATGGTGGGCAACAATAACAAATATGCAATTTGGCCCCTTCTGCTCTCTTTACTGGCCTTAATAACTACCTTTCAGCAACAGATGGCAGTTCTTTACAATCTGGTAATGCCAAACAAAATTGTCTTGCCGTGACTACCCACTAAACAACCTGCTGGCATTTTTGTCTGGTTTGTCCCTAGTACCAGGATCTTCCTAGAGAAAGCTAAGTATCTAACAAGTTGAAGTGAAGAAAAGAGGCTTGCATCTCACAGCCCTGTGTCACAATGGTAATATCATTTCTTGATATGAGACAATGGCCTCCATTCAAATATGCATGGGCCTTTTTCACTTAACACTAATTAAAGTTGACCTTATACTTCAAGGGTTTGCAACTGACAAAGCTTCTGTTTGGTCTAAAAACCTCTCCCACACTCATGTAGTAGGGACAAAGTAGTATTGAGGACAGTCTAAGGACTACTACCGCGCACCATTTGTTCAAAAGCTGGATAGCTCTATCCACTGGATAAATTAATGTCCGGCGGGATAAATTGAGGGAAACCAATTGTGCAATTGGCCATTTGAAGAGGCTAAAAAGAAAATATAGGCTTCAGCCACACCCACCTCGTCTGACCTCCTGAGGGTTTGCCCCTTTGGACACCATTTCAAATCCTTCTTTTGCAATGGATCGGGCCAGTATAGTGGCAGTAGTGGTACCATCACCAGCCTCCTCATTTGTGTTATTGGCGACATCTTGCACAAGGCGGGCACCAATGTTCTGGTACTTGTCTTTAAGTTCAATAGCTTTGGCTACTGTCACACCATCTTTAGTGATCTTTGGTCCTCCAAAACTTTGCTCAATTATAACATTTTTGCCCTGAAAAAGGAAAGAATGGCTTGTTAGCTTTCAACTTGAGGAAAAATGATAGCAGATAAAGGTACAATAATAATATTAAAAAACTTGTGAAATGTCCACAACAAAGGGGGGCATAACATTCAAAGTAGGTAATATGCTGTTGAGAAAGAACTCACATAATTATGGGAAAATGTCTCCTTAGAATGGCCAAAATCAAAAATCACTGCTTAATTAGCCATCCATTAGAATGCTTTGGACATAGATTTAGCAAAACTATTACGGGCTTTTAGTAACCAACAGACACTATGGTCTACTCAATGGGAATAAATTAATTAATTAACCTTTTAAAGATCAATAATATTGATGGTGGACGGGGATGTTGCCAGTTCCTTATTTAGAGGCAAGTACATTTCTCAACCACTCCTTTCTCTTCTGCCTAGCTACAGTCTCAGTCAAAATGGTTGGGACACTTTGGGGTCTCCTTGTCCCCTCAATGTTGGTGTACAAGATTTGGTGACCAAACCGTGATAAACAACTTTGAGAGGGACGAGGGAAGCACGAGATGGGAAAAAACAGCGTTTGGTTAAAGTGTCCCAACTATTTTTGTCTGAGACTGTATCGGGGAGGAATTTGAAGGCGTGTTGACAGATACGGAGGTTAATCGGTACGTCGGTCACAAGCGATGGGCTTTTGGTTTGTTGGGTATCTATTGTGTTTCGCGAACGTTTCTATAGCAGTGAACTAAGTTATTTGGGCCTAACAACATAACTCAAAGAATGACCAGTTCGCAGAAATTTCTTGGGCAGAATAGAGTATTGGAAAATAAAAGGAACTGAGTGTGCACTAAACTGTACGATTGATAGCGTGACAATATAGCACGTGCATGCTATCTACGTAAGATTCAGGGTTTTCATATACGGAGAGGCGCTCGAATGTGCCACATTTCTAGAAAAAATGTGTGGAGAATAATAGAGAAGGCCTCTTTGCCAAGAAAGAGTGTAGGAACAAGGCTCAAAGGGACGCCTTTCTAACTAAAGGGCAAGAGGCGAAAGACAGCTGAAAGAGCGATTAAGCGATTTCGAGAGACAGGGGGAAACTTGTCGTCCAGTTTGGATGAAAATGCAACAAGCCAGGATTATTCCCAAGACGTATCAGCGACAACAGTATCCCTCTTTCTAAATTTCTAAAGATACTATTGACTACAAGTGCGTAAAAAGGGTGTCCAACAATAGTGTAACTGTTTGGTCCGACGTCAAAAAGTTTCTTAATAATATTCCAGGCTACTGCTGTGAAATCGACCCCTGACTTTTTATAAGTTGTTTACAACATATGTTAATTTGGCCCTGCGCCAAATGGTGACATCGGTTCTCATTCTTTACCCCAAATATACACCTTTCTGAATAACTCTAAAACAAACTACTGTGCCATAAATGTGGGACTTGAGGTAAAAAACATGAATCATATAAAACGAGGACACTACCTATCCTTAAAACCTCCAAAAAAGCGTTCTACTCAACGCGTACACGGGTCACCGTACATTAACTCAATTAAGATATTTATAAGTTTCTTTCAGCGAACAATCGTGTCACCATGATCAAAGTTTTAATAACTTGTCTTACATGTATCAAGGCGATATAAACCTTGGCTATTTCAATTAAGTGTGAAAGTACCTTATCCTTTTCTATCTTAATCCGTTATATATACCAGAGAGGTCTAAGAAAACGCCCTGGATAGTATGGTGACCCGTTATGGTGACCCGTCCAACCGTGTCTCCACCGGTACAATATATTAGCGGCAAGATACACAGCCTGCGAAATAATGCGCGCAGTTTTGACTTATCCGTTGTTCACTCTTTAAACCCAATACGTAGAAAGCTTTCCTAATACCGTGGAATGTTGTAATTAAAGAAACAAAGACTTCTTTCCTCTATTAATTGTCTTCTCTTTTTCTATCCTTGGAATCTCTAATATTTTTTCCGAAAAAATGGCTCCGAAACGTGCATATACCTGCCTAGCGATTTCCCGCCACTAGAGCCAACGAGGAGTCACATATCTAAAATTCCTCAAAAACACAGTCTCAGTCAAAATGGTTGGGACACTTTGGGGTCTCCTTGTCCCCTCAATGTTGGTGTACAAGATTTGGTGACCAAACCGCGATAAACAACTTTGAGAGGGACGAGGGAAGCATGAGATGGGAAAAAACAGCGTTTGGTTAAAGTGTCCCAACTATTTTTGTCTGAGACTGTAGCTCAGTTGGGAGGTGAGCAAGAGGTCCAGGGTTCAAACCCGGCCAGACCAACATGCCAGGTCTTTAAATAACTGAGAAGAAAGTGCAGCCTTTGTAACGATATCGCCAAACAGTTAGACTTTTTAGTCTTCTCGAATAAGGACAAAAAACTGTAGGTCCCATCTCACAGCATTTTCTCTTATCTGGTTTTTGTGGGACACACAAGAACCAACACCGCTGTTCAAACAGAGTAGGGGACGTATACCCTGGTGGTGTGGCCAACCTTTCCTGGGCTGGGTGGGTTATCTGTAAGGAGAGATCTTAGTATAGGGATAACATCATGATCCTCCTTCAGGCGTCGTAATGGCTACCTGTAGACAGTGTATTTATTTACGTATGTATGTCAACAATAGTAAGATTCAAATTTGAAAAAATTGCATTTCTGAATTCCCAGCATCATCGGTTACAACATTCTGACTAAGACACAGTAATGTGATGTTTTGGGCATCAACCTAGTTGTTTGTGTTCATAATAAAAACAGCAAGACTGTCAAACCTTTGGGCCTAGCGTCACAGCAACAGCATCAGTTAAAATATCAACACCTTTGAGCATGCTTGACCTGGCATCACCTCCAAACTTGAGTTCCTTAGCAGCTTGATGCCGGTGTGAAGTGCTGAACCCTGCGGCCAGCCGAGGGGAGAGGATTTTGAGAGAAATCCGCTGCTGGGCAGGACGGATCAAACTAGGTAGACGATACATTCTGCAAACAGGAATGTGACTATCAGGAGCCAATTGTTCACAGGAAAAAATAACAGATTCCCATTTTTGGATATTTTAGGGTATTTAAAGAATACCCACAAAAACTCCCAAATTTGGAAGAGTGAGACAAGTCCTAACCAGGGAACTTGGTTGGGAATTCCCTGGTTGGGACTTGTCTCACTTTGCCAAATTTGGGATTTTTTATGGGTATTCTTTAAATACCCTAAAATATCCAAAAATGGGAATCTGTTATTTTCTCCTGTGGTTCAGAAGGTAGATAACACTATCCACTGGATAAATCGCAATCCACTGTATAACGCTATTGGTTTCCCTAGCACTTATCCAAAAGATAGCGATTTATCCGGTCGATAGCGCAATCCAACTTTTGAACAACCGGGGCCAGGAAAAAAAAACTGAAAAAAGTTAACCCTAACAACATAACTGTGTAATTATGGGGACTTGCAATAAAAATAGGCTTTTGTGTGTTACAATATTATTTCTTTTTAAAAGCCTCACTCCAGTGATAACTAAGGAACATAGCAGTTGCATAGCAGGTCAGTTGATGTCATGGTTTGGAGTTAAATGATATTAACCTGGTCTTAGAGTGGTTTTGTATGTGTGATTTCACTGAACTAAACCAGCTGGTTTAAGTTCAGTACAACTGAAAATATGTATAATAAAATAAACTACAACCACAGTTTAAGAAACACAGACAAACACCTCTGGCACCTATACACTCTGCACTATTTAAACATGCACACATATAACATGCATATTATGCAATCGACCCCTTAAGTTGCATAAGTTCAACGAAGTCTTATTTTCTGATTCTGCACATGTAAAAACGCATCAAACTCATTGGGCTTATTTAAACCTTTTTTTTCTACGTGAAAGAAATGCATTTTTTTCTAAAATACAGTATTTTTGCGACTTCAATTTTGTAAAACAGCTGACATAGCCTGAGAGGTAACTTATAACTAATTGTTCGTCACAATTTATGGATCTTTTACATCTATATGAAGGGAATTATTTGCAGGGACTCGATTGTGCCAGCACTTGACGAGATCTGCGTCTAAAAAGCAATAAATGAAAAGCTATAACGAAAGATATATCGCATAAACCATGTGCAATTTGCAGGTTAATTCTAAGTGATGTGTGGGAGAGTGCCGGATACAAATAGGGGAGCCACAAAAAATAAAAAAATTCTGTAACGAACTATTTTAATACAAGCTACAACAAGAAAATATACTTTACCTTGATAATTCAGTGTGTAATCGAGAGTTAAAGAGTAAAAATAATGCACAAAACTGTGCAAAATTAAGAGAACAGCGAGGCGGATTGCAGCTCGGTTGGCCCACGTGCCGAAAAGGACGAATTCGTGCTTGGCATGCTCAGTGTAGAAAGCAATTTATGCCTCTGTAGGGTAGGGTTAAGTCTATATCTTTCTTGTATGACAAACTATATCTAAATTTTCTTTTTTTTAGCCATAAAGCTTCCTTTATCTACGCCATTACTTTTTATAGTTGTATCGATTGTAGACTTGCCTTGTAAATATCAGAAATAGAGTCCAAATAATAGGTCCATCTCATGTATTCTTGACTCTCCCCTTCCTAGTTAAGTCTTTGGACACACCTCCTGACGCCTTTACGATTGCGCAGAACGTACCCGGACTACACGTGTGAATTTGCTATTTCCACCGGCAAAGAGGCCTTGTGGTTTCCCTGCAAAAATGGTGAGTATTAGAGTTTTTAAGGTGGCAAACTAGCGTTCTTGATTGCTATAAATTCTTTTTAAAGCCTAGCACACTTTGATGTACACTTTTACCAAAATTGTACTTCAAAATGTCTCTTTAAAACTAGGTGGCTCTTCCTGCATGCTACAGTCAACTAAAAAGTCGTGTATAAGGACCATCAGTAAACCATGTCTTTTCTCTTTCTTCTCTCTTCTCTCTCAATCAAAAGTCTCAGTTTACTAAAATGTTGAACATGCTTCGTGTAACCTTTTTGACAGATCTCAAACTTTGTCTTCTCAAATCTTGAAATAATTTGACATGATTGCATAAGCTTTTTTCGAACTAAACTTTAATATTTGATGATCAAAGCTGCATTTCTCTCTTGTAGGCTGCAATTCGAAGATTCAAGCCACTCTTTGACAGGATTTTGGTAGAAAAATTCCTACCAGAAGTAGTATGTATTGTTGTTCATTCTTTTGCACAACCATATGCATTATAAATTACGATGCAAGCAGTTCCTTATTGTACTAATAGGGGTGGCAAGTGATAACTAGAAAATTTTGGCACTGGGAAGATTATAAGCCAACCCACAGGCAGACCACCCTCTGTTTGTGTGGCTGTTGTCGTTATTTAAATCCAAGTATCATTATTTTGTACTCAACTGAAGAAAATAAAGATTAATGTTATGGCAGCTACAATTTACTCCAAAACCCTGATTGGAGCCCCGCGGGGGGGGGGGGTACTCCCATACATTACCTATACGGGTATGTGCCGCCCAACGGGGTCGTGATTTTGAAGCTCCTGATTTAGAACGGGGTATCCATTTCAGGGGCGTTTTCTAGAACGGGGTATAATATTTCGAACGCACGAAAGCTCCAGTTTTGTAAGCAGCCATTTGAAATTATTCAAGACAGATTGCTTTTAAAAATATGGTTCAATGCATTAACAAGCAAACTCTTGTACTCTTTGCACCCTAGAACGGAGTATAAAAAATTGGCCTAATTCTAGAACGGGGTATCAATTTTAGGGGAAATTTTTTTTAGAACAGGGTGCCAATTTGGAGGCCCGGGCGGCACATACCCCCCCAAAAAATACCCAAGGCCCCCCCCCCCCCCGTGGGATTGGAACCTAAATGTTCAAGCCAATTTCAAGCAAAACGTTAACTTAGGCAACTTTGCTGCAAGGTACCTGTTGGCTGATGCAGTGGCTGATCCAGGGGATCTCCCCCCCCACCTTATTTTTAGACCAAACTGAGGACCAAACGGTTGAAAAAAAATTTTTTGGAGATGTGCCCCCACTTATCTCAGGGTCTGGATGACCGCCCCACTCCCTTATCTAAAGGTCTGGATCGGCCACCGGGCTGATGTACATTGGGCACTATCGGTCGACATTGGCTGTTACTTAAAGGGCATTTCAATTGACATGCATACCAGTAAATATTAGTTTGATAAGGCGCCAAATTTCAGCCAATTTCCTCGCAGAGGTTATCCACCAGTGTTGCAGCCAACACCTCAGTAGACTGTCAGTCGACTTATCAAAGTTACAAGCAAACATTGGGCAGCTATCGACGGATAGACTGCAGAGGCCGACATTTTCCACACAGTGGTCAGATTCAGGACTGATACTGAACTGATACTAAATTGACATCTCAATCTGTCTGAATGTGAATAAAAAAAATCATAACTGGTTTATGAACTTCACTTTTTTTTTTTCCTTTTTTAGAAAACCAAAGGAGGAGTTCTTCTTCCTGAGAAGGGTCAGGGGACAGTATTGGAGGGGACAGTGATTTCTGTGGGACCCGGTGCTAGAGATAAAGTGAGTTGAAGAACCTCAGCGAGTGGACAGTGATTGGTGATAACCTAATACTGCACATTAAAAGATGCCATTGCAGTAAACTCTTTAATTATCCTAAACAAGGGATTAATTTCAGATCAAGTTTGTAAATAGATAATCTATCAAGTTTGTAATTAGATTGCAACATTTATTTTAAAAAAAGCTACCAGGATTTATTACAAGACATGGTCTGAACAACCTGGTGATAAAAAAGAAAAAGTAGCACTTGCCAGCATGACCCAGTATGTAACCTTATTTGTCGCAGATTAACTTGTTAATAATTTTGTCAAAATTTGCATTGCACATGGAATGTGCATGGATCAGAAACACGAACAGGCTTTATATATATTTATATATCTTTACTTCTGGTTGGTTATTGCTGCCAGTGATGTCATCAATACATGACATCCAGTTGCATTAAGGTTTCAAAGCAACACCTCCGCTGGGCGCACTATCATATTTTATTCATGAAAGGCAGACATGTTTATCCATCCTCTGTAAAAAAATAAGTTTACTGATTTGGTGAATTGCGACCAATTCTCACCATGCTAATGCCAGGAACTACAAACTGTACAACGCCCTCTGCAAGAGACTTAGCAACGATTTATGTTCCTCAAATGCGATGAAATGAGTTAAAGTTCAGCTTTTACCGTCAAAACCCTGCTTATTTTGCTCAAATGTATCTTCGAATATTTCTTGATAAATACAGCTCCACCAGCTTCAAACAGCATCTACCAGCAGAATTTCATGTAGAAAAGCCTTGAGATAATAGTTAAACACTTGCGTTTAACATTTGGTGACATGGCTTACTTTTTTCATACAAATCATGCTGGGCGCCCTGAATTTGACAATTTCAGAGCACAGGGCTCCCTCCAGTTTTTCTTAGAGCACAGCCTTACATTTTGTAATGGAAAGGGTATTCATTCTAGAAATGTTTTGACAGGTATACTAGAAAATTAGTTGCCATTATTTTATATATTCTTTTGTTTAACTCATTACTTGACTTTTCTTTGTTCTTCCAGTCAGGTAACATTGTTCCCATAAGCGTGAATGTGGGTGACAAGGTTTTACTCCCAGAGTATGGTGGAACAAAAGTGACCATGGAGGAAAAGGTTTGGATTTGTTTTATTTTGGTGGGGTGTGCGGGGGTATGATTTAAGGGCCTGGTGGGAAAATGGAGTCACTGTGACATACTCACTACAAACAAATCATCATTATCACTTGGAGGTTATTTTGAACATGATTGGGTATTTTGTTGCAATACAATATTCCAGACTTTTTTCTTGCATTTGCATTTTTTTCCTAGCAATCTTCACATATTTGGCAAAGAAATGAAAAGTAAAAGCAAAGTAAAATAAGATTCTTCGATCACCTTTCTTTTCAGTAGGAATCTCACAATTTAACGTCTTAGAAATTTGTCTGGCATTTGGACTTGTTTTAGTCCAACAGTCACATATGTGGCAAAGGTTAAATGACAAATAATAAGAATGTTTCGTCCTTCAACAGGAATACCACATCTACCGTGACAGCGATATTCTTGGTGTGTTTGAGTAGTGCTGAGAGTCAACCAGTCACTGAATTACTTAACTGCTGAGCTCAACAAGAAAGATATTGACCTGAAAAAACTTATTCACTGCAAAATAGTGAGATACAAGTTATTGAAAACATGGGTACTGCTATAGAAACTCATTTGTTTAAAAATAGCTTTTAAGACACTTTGCGTTTATAACTGTGAGGGCAATATTTCTTGCAATGTATGACATAATTTTTAGATCAAATACCAGGGTATTGTAGAGTAAGCAATATTATTGTTCTTTCTTTACTCTGACCTCTCTTTAATCTGCCTGAATGTAGTGTAAGACTTGAACTATTTGCTTTTTTTTTATACAATAAAGTTCTGGTTTTGACATAAACATTGTGGTGTCATTTGTTTAATTATTATTTTACATTAGGTGGATACAATTTATTTTACAAATGGGCATGAAAAGGCTCTATTACCAGCCACTGTTCATGAAATGAGTCCTGATTCCTTCCCCACCTCACCCCCACCCCTCATTTTGGTATATTTGATATTTTTCACAATTATGTAATGCCTCAGCTGAGAATTTTCAGATCAACTGTATTTGTGCATGAATGATCATCAATGATACATTTTATAACAGACATCTTAGAAGTTACTCATCAATTTGAGGACTCCAAAAAAATTAAAATACCAGTTGCATATTAATAGTAAGCAGGACTCTGATATTTTCTTATGTGGGTCACTTGCCTAAACCTTGAAGTCCCAATATCCACATACAAATTCTCAAAACTGATCTCCATACAGGTCCATAAAGAATAAGTTGAGAGAATTTGGTAGAAGATTAAAGCATTTCCTCTTAAGTGATTATTTCATTAATTCTCAAAATTTTTTCTCTTGCTTGTGTAATGTTGTTAGACGAAAATTGATACTCATCATTTTTGGGACTTAGAGGGTTAACTGTCCCACCAGAAATGGTCCATCTAGATAAACGAAAATTGAGCCTGATTGCTAGCTAAGGCCTGTTTCAAATGTAGCATTTCACATGCCAAAGGAAAATCTATTGTTCTTGCTGATTTGCTTTATAATAATTTGGTAGACGCGAAATGCAGTGTTAAAACTGGGGCTTAAGTCACAGGTAACATCTGATTAGGTTTCCTTTACCATGGGCTGATTTCAGAAAAATTTCCACAATTTACTGTTATTCCCTTCAAACATGTTCCATTTGAGTTACCAATTTTCTCTTTTCACTTTCTAGACATTTTGACCAACAACTCTATAAAGTTTTTAACTATAGTTCCACCCAGATAAAATGAAATGAGATATACTTGAACCTCCACTAATTGGCCACCGCTGGAATACTAGCAAATGGCCGCTTCAAGGAGGTTGGCTGCTCAATACAAGTTTTTCATAAATGAGCATAATCTTAAGCAGAAAAGTCCTTTTTATTTTAAAACAAACACACAACAGGATTGTCATTACTAGTCCACAAGCAGTCATGACCTGTCTCGGACTGTATTTTCCTCCATCGCATTTTTTTTAAAAGCCAAACTAAGTGTTTTAAGGACTTGATGGGCACTTACTAGAGGTGACAACAAAAGAAGAACTCTCCTCAGGATGAACATTTTTTTTTCCACAATTTTCTCTGGACTAAAATTACTGGCTACTTAATGGAGGTTTAACTGTATTCTGAAATGTCCTTCAAAATCATTGTTACTGGTACTAAAAATTAGAACCAACACACAAGAGAAGTGTTCAAAAGTCTACACAATGTGCTTTATTTATGACCATCACTTATTTCCTGACAAAATAAAATTACAAGCACACGAACAAGCCGCCCTTCCACAAAGCCACTGACTAAAATAAATGGCATGAATTGATCACTAATTGTGGACCATGAATATACAGATTACAGGGCAAACAAGATTAAAAAGGCCATCATCAAACAAAACAGACCCATAGCTTCAGACAAGGCAAAGCCTAGAATTGCATAGGAGAAAAGCTGCTGCTTGAGAGATGGGTTCCTTGCATAACCAATGATCAGACTGCCAAAGACAGTACCAATACCAGCTCCACTACCTGCAACGTAAAAACAATTGCATGGTGTGAAATGAGACTTGTTGTGGTACCACCACTGGCTTCCCTGTGAAAAGATGTCAGAGAAATGTGTGCAGAGGTTCCATACTGATGACATATCACTACCCTAATCTGGGTAGTGCTTCAGATTGGTCGTACCACAAGGGAAATTTGTTTCAACCAACCAAAGCACTACCCAGATCTGCGAAGTGACACGTCATCAGTACAGATTTCTGCACTTGTTCCTCAGATATCATATCGCGGGGAAACCGGTCGTGTCGCCGCAAAATGTTGGCTGTTTTCCCAGGCTAAGTGTGGGATGAGTACCCTTAGCTTTACTCTGTCACTTGGTGTTAACTTCTGATTACAAAAAATAAATTATTGTTTTCAAACAGTCCTTCTGGAGTTAGTGTAAACAATGTACATGGGGGAACATTAAGGGAGTGTTATCAAATATATAACAGAAACAATGCAACATTGACCGCTTTCAGTTGAACCTTCCTGTATTACCACCAGAAAAAAAAAAAGCTTTATATACTGCAGGGTGTAAAATCAACACAATAACATGCCAAGTGCAAGTAACAAATCTCATATCACTTGAAAGCATGGCAAGACACTTTCCTGATAACCAAAGCTGTAAAATGTACACTTATGTCTTCAAAGAAAAGGAAAAAAAATTGTACTCAAGGTTAAAGCTCTTTACAAACCTGCAACACCTACAGTAGCTGCACCAGCACCAATAAATTTAGCAGCAGAGTCAACATCCTGCACCTGAGAACTTGTCTGAAAGCCTCGGCAAGCCAGAGCTAAAGGAGAGGAAGGTACTAGAGCCTGTA